TAAATCGTGAATGATATCCGAATTCACCGAGTCTTAACGTTCCAACAGTCAATTTTTAATGAGAAAAGATAATTAATATATACGATGAAGGTTTAGAACATTTTCAATAATGCAGTCAGAATTTAAGAATTGTAACCGTGGGAAGATAATTATTTTTATAATGTGAAAAATAGTGGAAAAATTATCAACGCATTGAATAATTAAAATGTACAACGGACATACCGGTTTCCCCGTCTCACATTAATTTTCTTTCATTTTTAAATATTTCATTTTCACGATCTTTCTGAATTCATTATTTATCATTCATTTGACAAATGAAAACAATGCGATGCATGGTGGAGTTGTTTTTAGTTTATTTTTATATCTGTTTTCATCGATTCATTTGACTTTATCGATAACAGTTGAAAAAAATTGACATTAAAAAAAAGAGAAACACCTACACCCACACAAAAAAGCTCCCCATTGGTAGTGCAATTGGAAACAGAGCTATACTACGAGAATAGAATTAATGCATTATTGAAGTGAAGAAAACTGGAAAATGAAAAATATGCAGTCGTTCGAACGACAACTTGTAGATCGAGCATATTGATGAATGATTATGTGCGAATGAGTCATCAAGTTTATCACCTAATGAGAATGAAAAATATATATATAAACAATTAACGCCATAATTGTTGAATTTGAAGAGCAGATGTCAATTTGAAAATTAAAATGAAATCAATATTAAACACACTTAGGGACATAGCGTCAATTTACATTACTAAATAAATTGATTAAAACATAGCGACAATTGATATTAACGGTTAGTAGATAGATTGAAACGTTGAAGATTTTTGTGCCGACATCTTGGCGCCTCATACTTTAGTTACGGAAAATATGACTAGACACGAAACGTTAATTACAAGGAGGAAAAATTAATAAGAAGAGATGGATTTTTTTTCCTTTTGATGAAAGTGTATTTACGTATTGTTTTCAATGCAGGCGTTTCTGCTGCTTGCTGTTAGAAAAATGAAACAGCGTGTCGGTCGTGTTTGAAATAATAAATGAGAATAAAATACCGCCCAGTACAGATTATAAAATCATAAGTTGACTTAATATTATGTGCATAATATACAAAAATATATTACGGGTTCATATTGCAGATTAGTTTGAATTAGGATTAATGATGGAAAAGAGAATTTCATTATTTTTATTCATTTTCAGCCCCTCAGTGAATGACGACGGAGCTGGTAAAGAAAAAAAAGAATTTCGAGTCGATGATTGTAGAAAATAGAGAGAGCGTAATCCACGCGAAATGTTATGACTGTACTAGAATTAATATCACACATTATGCAAAATATCAATATTATCAAATGCATATTATAATTAGATTTATATATAATGCAGATAAATAAATCAATAATTGCGTGAATTGGAACAACAAAATGATTAAATGAATAATCTTGTGTTATTTAAATCTACAACATGCATCTGATAGTAGAGACGTAAAAAGAAGCAAAGAGAATTATTACTAGGAAAAAAATCGTCAGTTTAATATCCACGATTTAGTAGAAATTATTCCAATTGTTAGACAGAAACTATTTCGGAACATGTAGAATAAGGATTTTAAGGAAACAATTAATGAGATTCACTTGCTTAATTGTAGAAAATGGTCAATATTCTATTTTCAGTTCATGAGCCATTAATATTTTATATGTTACATTATGTGATTATGGTGATAGGTTAGAGAAAAAAAATTTGTTCACCTTAGTTTCATTTTTGTAAAAGGAAATAAAAGAAGAAGTATCATCAAGTTTCAAAGAAAATTGTATTGAAAAAAACAAACAAAGATAAAAATTTAATTACGTCGTATTCATCGAAATACAACTTCTGTTCGCACCATTCGTGATGAATTGAAAAATCGATGGCTTAGAAAAATTGAGTGATGGCAGGTATAATAATATAATGAACATGCGGATGAATGGATTCTCTATGGATCGATGAATATGACGAGTGTCCAATGAATGCAGACACAATGGCAACATCTCCCCTCATATTCTCCGTTCAGCTAATGTTTTAGCTGAGGTATTTTAAAATCCTCTGATGTATTTTAGGGGAGGGTGAGATAAAATGGACACTTCTGACATTTTTTTAAACGTTAGTGGCAAGCTGAAATGTTGATGAAGTTTATTAATTTTTTTCAGTGCAAAGAACAACTCTTTTTCTCTCTGATGAGCCTAAACTGAGCTGAATTGATAAATTTGTTTCTGAGTTATGAGTAATTTGAAAAAATTCTAATGTGTCCGTTTTACCCCAGCCTCCCCTACTCTTGTATGTGGCCCTGCATGAAACAGTGGAAAAATTTCAGAGTAAAACTTTTACACTGACCTTGCAGGATTGTGGTAAAGGCTGTACTATATAAACGTGAGCTCCATTGGGTCGACTTCCATTCGGCTTTTAAGGTTTACGTTACTGGTTTTTGTGACTGTTGAATTCGATACTCCTGACGCTTGCTAACATATCATTGTACATCATTATTGTTTTTCGTTGTTTTTTCTGATTCATCTATAGTCCAACTAAAATTTCTTTACCCCTGGGCGAATTGGACTCCCATTATTTTCATTGAAATCACGAATTTTTCGCGTTTTCAATGAAAATAACGGGAGTCCAATTTTCCAAAGGGAAAGGAGATTTTAGTCTGACTATATCTTCATTTATATCTCACCTGAGAAATCTCCGATCGTTCGAACTTTTCCTCCTCTGGAAATTCAGTATTTCTATCCACACGGAGAGAAATGTTCAGTAAAAATTACGGAACTCACAATTCACTCACTGATTACGAAATCGACTCAGACAATTTAAGTGACGGTATCGTAATTTTTGACAGGAGATTCGGATAAGAATTACGGAACGCTCCAGAAAAATTCCGCGACAGTTCCGTAAAATTTCCTACACCCACATTTTGCTCCGGAATTACGGAAAAGATACGTCATTTTTATTGAATATTTCTCTCCGTGCATCTGTACTATTTTTTTCCTGTCCGGCAGCATCATATGTAATCTCTCTTGTTCATTACTATTTCCGAAAATTCTCAACATTTCCTCTTCACTATTTCTCAATGCGGTTTCTGGCTTTTCAACTCTTGTCATTTTCGAGCTTCTGCAATTGCCTTGAGGTGCTCTCCACGTGCAGCAATAACATCCGGTGTATCATGTCTGTCTGCGGTATATTTTGCAGTCTGAATAACTCCAGAAGCATCTACAAAGCTGAATCCACAGAATACATAGAAATTTGGCGCCACACAAATGACTCATTTATTCATTTGTCCCTCGAGACAGTTTGTTACTTCGTGTAATTGGGAAAAACAGCCCTCTAAACAGCCTTTTTGGAATTTTTAAAGCGAGAAGATGTAATAAAACAAACGAAAACAAAAATAGAGTAATCAAGGAAGAGGTACTGAAATTCAGTGCCCACTTTTTGCAGTGATATGGGCTTCTATTATCAACATTCTATACAGTAACACTGATTTCATCTAATTGATTAAAAACAATGCAATTAATCGTGCGAGTATGAATAAATAGTTCATCTATCAACTTTTATGGTACATCCAGATATCATTCACCCTTTTTTAGCCCTGAAAATGAAAATTCGTAATCAACCCCGCAACAACTACGCTACAGCGTGGCTGTACACGTATGAAAAAATCGTATAGAANAAATACCCAAAAGACTGTAAAATCCAGGTTTAATCTAAGTAATGTGTAATAAGAAGACGTAATTGAATTAATATTGATTAATATATGAAAGTGTAAATAACCTAATGTATGGGTTTCAGCACTCTAAAACAATAAAAAATAAATAAAAAAAATAGAATAGCGCATAGAATTTCGATAGGATTTTTGTTCATGATATTCGGATATTTATACACGGATATTTTTTACACAAATTATTTTTTTACGATTGCTATGGGTTTGGTCAAACAAGTCTTACTTATGCCAAGAAAATAGTTTTTTGAAAACTGTCAAAAAAGGATTTTTTGTGCCAAACATGCAGAGAGTGCGCCGGAATGAAAAATTTTTGTCGCAAAAATAGATTTAGTAGTTAAAAAAAAATTGCATTTTCTGTACATGGAAGAAATGTCATTTCCAGCACTACTCCTTCGTTATGCGATAATCCCAGACGTATTTTGCTCCCGAAAAATCTTTGTTTTATGCGCAACAAGGGATAGTAGTTTTTCGTTTCGGCTGTCTAATAATCACAGACAAGAAGTGAACCCTTAAATGAAACAATAATAATGATATGATAGTAATCTTGTAATTTAGGGATAAAATATTTGTTGATAAATTTTCGTCTGTATGAGATATTTTCATCCTGAAAAGGCACCGTCTGGTGTGAATTATCCGCCTCTTGAGCCAAATATTTCGTTGCTGTCGAAAGCAGAATAATTATTCATGTTTGGGACTTTCAAATTCGAACCAAATAAATTCTTTTTTTCCAATTTTCAACTAGCGATTTTGTTGGCCCAAACAAGACTTGTTTGTTTTTCTCTCAGTGAATAGAAACGTTTCGTATGGAGTTGCGACATTTCTCTACGTTTTTCTCTGTGTTTAGACATCTTTCGTATGAAAACAAAAATTTATGTAAAAATAATTCGTATAGAAATGTCCGAATATCATATACGGAAATCCCATAGAATTTCTGTACGCAATCCGTATAGAAAATTTTTGTACGATTTCTTCATCCGTGTAATGACGCTCTTGGATCGCCAGGGGAATAAAATCATTTGTCGTTGATAAAGGTTTCAGCAATGATCACTGAGCCAACAATATCGAAAACAAGTTTTTCACCTAGGCGCGCCTAACGCTCACATTTCGATAGGCAAAGTAGTCACGTGCGTCGAACGATCGCGTGCGCCGCGTGAGTCGCGGAACACGTGCACGGCCTAGAGAACCTGACGCAATGCAATGGGTGCAAGAGCGCTCAGATATCTTTCCATCGCGGCGTGAACTTCATCGATCATGACGTCAATGGGTTATTGAGTTAAAAGTGGAGGACTATGGGTAACAGTCGACATTTTTAACGGTAATTCCCATACTCACGAGAGGTTCAGCGTAATTTAATAATTTTATGATTTATTTTAATTTTATAATTTAATCCAGTGTAATTTTTGTCTATTGATCATGAAATGTTCAAGAAATGCGCAGAATAGCTCCGGAATTTTCGATTAGAATCGACGAAAAATAAATAGAATTTGTTTTTAAAATAAGTTGAACGAATTTTCTTCTTCAAATGTATTTAGATAAATATCCCGGAGTTGAGAGGAGATCGAAATTTCCGATTGAATCCAATTTTCTATTCAATTAAGTAAACTAATTTTGTTTTTTCATTTCTATATGAATTGTTCTCTTCAGCTAAAAAAAAATACTCGCAAAATTCATGTCCCAGAATTCTCATAGAAAGAATCAAAATGGAATAACATATGAAGAAAAATCGACATTCATTGACAAAATAAAATTACTCATCGAATTTCAATAGAATTGAAATAAAATGTCCAAGAGAAATCGCTAGAATTTTTAAATTAAATTTTGCCATAAACTTTATCTTTATTTATTCTACCATTAACTTCTCGATTTATCAAATCCCTGAATGAATCAAAACAGAATGGCATATAGAGGAAAACCCACATCTATTCCCAAAATAAAATTGCTCATAGTATTTCCAGAGAATTGAAATAAAATGTCCAAGAAAAATCGCTAGAATTTTTAAATTAAATTTTTTCATAAACTTTATCATTATTTATTTCACCCTTAACTTCTCGATTTATCAAGTCCCTGAATGAATCAAAACAGAATGGCATATAAAAGAAAACCCATATCTATTCCCAAAATAAAATTGCTCATATAATTTCAATAGAATTGAAATAAAATGTCCAAGAGAAATCGCTAGAATTTTTAAATTAAATTTTGCCATAAACATTATCCTTATTTATTCTACCATTAACTTCTCGATTTATCAAATCCCTGAATGAATCAAAACAGAATGGCATATAGAGGAAAACCCACATCTATTCCCAAAATAAAATTGCTCATAGTATTTCCAGAGAATTGAAATAAAATGTCCAAGAAAAATCGCTAGAATTTTTAAATTAAATTTTTTCATAAACTTTATCATTATTTATTTCACCCTTAACTTCTCGATTTATCAAGTCCCTAAATGAATCAAAACAGAATGGCATATAAAAGAAAACCCATATCTATTCCCAAAATAAAATTGCTCATATAATTTCAATAGAATTGAAATAAAATGTCCAAGAGAAATCGCTAGAATTTTTAAATTAAATTTTGCCATAAACATTATCCTTATTTATTCTACCATTAACTTCTCGATTTATCAAATCCCTGAATGAATCAAAACAGAATGGCATATAGAGGAAAACCCACATCTATTCCCAAAATAAAATTGCTCATAGTATTTCCAGAGAATTGAAATAAAATGTCCAAGAAAAATCGCTAGAATTTTTAAATTAAATTTTTTCATAAACTTTATCATTATTTATTTCACCCTTAACTTCTCGATTTATCAAGTCCCTCGATTTGCGCAGGTATGATCGTACATTGCACACGTGAGTGCAACTGTGTCAGGGCCGTTCACGTGAACGGCCTACTAGACTCCCCCCGCCTGGTCCATGAATTCCCAGCGCGAAAAACTCCTTTTACCGCGAATCACGCGTCACGTCGTCCACCACCGATTCGGCGGAGCCCTCGTATCCTTTCAAATCCTTTCTCCCCCGCTACCCCATGGACGATTGTTCGAATTGAACCAATGCGCAAAGTCACCATTGCCAAACCCAATTTTACAGCGAAGAGACCACCGCTGCATTCAGTACATCGCGGGGATCCCGCGAGTTCAGTCGCCTGAGTCCGACGGTCGAGTGCATTTTATTCGACTCCTCAAGTCTTCGACGATCGTCTCTAATCGTCTCTCATTTACAGATTCTCAGTGACCCAACTCTCCACAATGCTGGAATGCGAAAAAATTTCCGAAACATTCTCGACTTTGCCCCCAGATAAACTCAATTTCGAGTCCCTAGTCATCGAGGAAAATTCCGAAGATTCTAATTGTTGGCGGGATGAGGTGCTCAAGGACTTGAGGAAACTTCAGAGATTGCGGGTAGAGGATTCATCGAAAATTTCAGCCGATGGTATTAAAGAAAATTTATTAATTTAGGTATTGAGTCGGGAAATTGAAGATGAATTTGTTTTTTTATGTTCAGTTTTTGCTGAATGTCTTTAAACTTAGGGGAGATGACAAAAAATTAAAATTTCAGTAGTAATTCTTAGGAAATTAACATTGAATTCGATTTGAGGGAAAAAAGTATCATTTCTAATTCCAGTGGAAGTTCAGGAGGATTCCAAATTTTTTAGCAACAGAAAGCCGAGAATTCCCGAACTTACTATATTATGTATTGCTGTTAAAAAAAATATATCGAAACATATCGCAAATTATTTTAAAAAATTCTCAAGAATTTCATAAGATAAAATGGATTAATTTTTTACGTTCAGATTTTGCTTAATATTTTAAATTTAGTGGAGATAATGACAAGAAATTGAAGTTTCAGTAGTAATTTTCAGCGAATGAACATGGAATTCGTTTTAGAGTGAAAAATCTAATCTCAAATATAATTCCAAATTTCATTGGAAATTCAAGCGAATTCCAAACTTTTTAACACCAGAAACGCAAAAATTCCCAAACTTACTATATTTATTATTATTATTATTATTACTATATTTATTATTATTATTATAAAAAATATATCAACATATATTTATGTTTTATATATATATATTTTTTTTTATTATATATTTTTATATGATTATAACAAATAAATCAACGAACCAACGGATTCCGTTTTACAACTCGATAGTTCCATAAAACTGAAACTATTGGTGCTCTAAAAAAAATCCTGAATTCTAGATCTCGCGAAGATAATTAAGGAGGGCTACAGCCTCCGCGAGTTATGCCTATCCTATTCACAACTGACCGAGGACCTCCTGCGGGTGATAGCGCGGGAAAATGTGTCCCTACAGACGATGCGAATCGAGGCGCATTCAGACACGAAGCCCCTCGCGAGGATTAGCGACACAGCGTGGACCGCTCTACAAACCCATTCACCCAATTTGAATCTCGTTATGTAAGCGATACTAATCAATAAGTACTGAGGACGTGCCATAAAAATAAAAAATTCAATAGAGATTTCCAATGCTTTCTCTAAACAATTCTAGAAAAAAAATCAATCCCAATGTCCATTCATTGTGTTTATTGCTTAGTTTACATTATTTTATTATTTGAATACTATTCATCAACATTTATTAAAACTATTATTATCCATTATTCATTATTACAGATTTTATTATTTTAATTATTAAAATTCGTTAAAAAGTGTCAATAAATGTTGATTTTTCAACAGAAATTTTTGGGTATAAATTTTCCAAATGTGTCCGCTTTATTTTATCTGTTTCTCGTAATAAAATCCAAGAGAAAAAACATCTATTGAAATAATATTGAATATAATTTATGCAAGCAGTAACAGAATTTTAAAAAGTCTAACAAAATTCGAATAGAATTCCTCAGAGAAAGCATTCATTTCCTTCATTAAATTTTTCACGCATAATTATAATCAATCATGTTTAAGGACTTGTTACCTCGAGGACGACGAGGACTACGAGGTAGTCCTCGCACCCCCGATAACCCACTTGTACCTGGGGGGATCTCCCTCGTCCCACGTCATCCGCAGAGTCAGTGAGAACTGCCCTCGATTAGTGGAACTGGTGATTAATTCCTGCAGCTCAGGAGTCATCGACAATGAGTTGCTGACCACGGCGAGGGACTGCCCCGAATTATCTGCGATAGGACTCGGTGATTGCGAAGTTACGTAAGTCATTATGGGCCCTGAACGTATCATTAAGGATGATGTTTTTTTTTTCGTATTCAGCTGCTCAGCACTCGTGCAATTCGCGAAAATCTGTAAGCAACGGCTCCAGATTCTGTACGTGTGGGAAACGTCTCTCATCGAGGATGAGAATTTCGATGTTGCCGATGCTGTGTCCAGCGTGTCCTCGTCACTGGGGAGATCGTGGACACCGGAGTATGTGCCACCTTGGTGAAGATGCAGTGGAATGCATTTTTCGAATGGAAACATTATATTCGTCGAATTTGAAATTTCCGATTTTTTTCAGGATAACTAATTTTGGCATCGGGGGTTCGAATGCTATTTTTAGTATGTGTATTTGTGTGGGTGTGATCGATTGTTTTTCAACGATAATTTTAAAATAGTACATTAGAGTACAAGGGCACAAATTTCGTTTTCAACGAATGTGTAGTTTACAGGCCGAGCCGAAGGCGAGGTCTGTACACACATTCGTTGAAAACGAAATTTATTACCGAGTGCTCTATAATATTTTATGTCAAGTCGTGCAGAAGTCGAGTTTTGAGCAAGCTGCGCGAAGCGCAGCGTGCGATAAACTCGACTTATTGCACGGCGCGACATAAAATAATTATAAATTAATATAACTAATCCGGTATGGTCTAGTAGTTAGGATTGTAAATTAATCCAATTGTAATTTAAAATATTCTTCCCAATGCCATCTTGACCGGGTTTGCATCGTTTGTTGGTTAATCTGTTGTTTTAATATTAGTTTCAGAAATTTATTGTGAAACCAATATTCAGAGGAAGGGAAAAAATTTTTAAGTTGGGACAATGCTGAATGCAATGAATCATTAAATTCAATTTAAGGATATCCAGGTACTTGGCTATTTTTTCTCCAGCGAAATGCTTTTATATTTTGTAGTCTGAAAAAATTAGAAAGTTTACTTTTGAAGAAAGATTGATGGAGTAATTTATGAACAATCAATTTTCCACCATAAAAATCATTTGTTCGGAATTGTAAAACATTTATTCATTTTGTTATGAATGTTTTTATCCCATTTAGAGTGCATTCCATTTGGCATGCATTCATTTTTTTTCCATCTGAATATATCCTTTGAACATTCCTTCTTTTCTCTCGTTTTTTGTGTTGACATATTTAATTTTCTATCGTTCCATTTTATTTTAATAAACACCTTTTTATTAATACCCACGCGTCATATAAAAAATAAGGTTTCCGGAAGCTTAAACAATTTCAATTATTTATTTATGAACAACGAATGTTTAAAAAAATAATAATTCCATGGAAAATGCAATTTGAATGACGCTGAATTCTCATGATTTTTGTCTGTACCAAACTGAAAAAAATACTTGGATATCCTTAAAATACATTCGGAAGCAAACTGCAGATTTATTAGTAAAAATATATTGACTGTTTCATGACAAAGGTAATTTTCCTTTTTTTACCGATTTCCATTCCAATTTCAGAAGCTTTCCGCACGTTCTCAAAAAAACCAAATTGACTGGAAAAATGAATAGATTTTAAACTACCTGAACAAATTCTTTCATTTTGTTCTGTAGAAATATTCTATTCAGAAGTAGACCTCGATAAAGTATTATTTGGAACAAATAAAAAGTATTTAATAGTCCAAATTGATGAATTTGGAGTAATCATCCGCCATAAAAACTATTTCTATTCGTTTTCACTTGAATAATTCCCAGCTCTGACGTTCACAAACACAAAATCACTTATCATTAAGGAAATATCTCATCAGTTCTCATAAACCACCCCACATTTATCATCAATAAACGTGTACAGATGCTGTATTATGTATGTACATAAAATTATTTACATACAAATCATGTTATTATTTACAAAATGATATTTGTACAGTTACCGTTACACCAGTGTCTAATGAATAATGAACTTCTCACAATTGAACTCCACCAATTATTGATGCCACACTCATGTTACTCCTCACAAGTCCCTCGTTAATTCTACTGATAATACTAGATTACTGTCGCAAGGCTCTCAGTCTTATGTACTAGCTGGTACATTGAAAAATTAACAACAAATGATTGTCCACGACCACAACTCAAATTATGTATAAATTTTTCATGTCGCGTGGAGCCTCAGAAGCGTAAAAAAACATCGACAAGTAGAAAAATTAATTAACAGAGAATGGAATACGTTGATAACACAATATTTGATACCAGCTTAGTCTGTTCTTTTATATTAGTAAAGCTTCAATCAAAAGTCGAAATTATTAGAACTAATGTCTTAATTGATCAATGAATAGAGATGGAGGACAGCGGATTCCACAGAAATATAATAATCATTCGAAGATAAACGAAATGGTTACATGAACATAATTATTAATTGTCACAGGTGCCCTGTTCCAACGTATTCGACGATTTTTTTTTTTGTAAAATAAGGCAGTACAATATCAAGACGGCTACCCTGCAGTGAGGCTGCTGCACGAAATTTTTTCATTCAAAAAATTGGGAAATGTGATGTTTAATAATAAATACGGGATACGTATTTTTTTTTATGCTGAAAAATGCGGAAGTTACTCGGGAAAATTGCAGGGGCCTTTATTTATCATTCTGATGAGTTTGCTAATTCAGTTTTAAATTACTAATTCAGTTGAAAAGTGTCCTTATGACGCAATTCTCAATCGATTGACTTGAATTTTCGCACTTTTTTAAATTTTTTTCTCGAAATTTCTACAGGTGAAAAGTCATAAAAAATATTTCAATTAAAGTACATAGTGAATCATTGAAGTATGATTTTTTTCAATTCGTTTTATGATTTTTCTCGTTATATTCTGAATAAAACACTCGAAAAATTTGAAAAAAAATTCCTTCAATGATGTATGATGCAGTTGAATGTTACTATTTTTTAAATTTATCACCTTTACCAATTTTGAGAAAAAAATTCAAAAACTCAAAAAATTGTAATAAAAAAAAATAGCATTTTTAACAGAATATTCGTATGAACAGATGAAAAGACCTCATGCAGAACCCCAATAAAGCCGTGAAACAAATTCAAAAAAATTTATCGAGTCATCAAGACCCTCTCACTACCCCCATCGATGTAGTTATTAAATCGTGATGTTTTATTGAATACATCAGTCAGTCTGTCTTCAGCTTTCACAAATGACTTGTGAAACTGATGAATCTCTAGAAAAGAGCCTGTCACGGCCTTGTGCGACTCGACAGAAATTGTTATCGCTGGGATGGAGAACGAAAAATTTTTAAATATCAATCTGGTAGGTCTATGGATACGATAGGCACGACTGGCTTCATTAGATCGATCTTCTTTATGTGTTTCTCGCCTTTTTCGGATACCATCGGCTCGGATGGGGGCTGATCGCGGTCTGTTCGTGATTGATAAGAGATGTTTCCGTATTCCTGGAGGAGGGGACAGAGACCGAGGAGGAAATGACAAAAGTCTTTTCGCAGTCCAAACCACCCTGAGAAATAAAATCGTTGAATTGATTAATTTGGTTTGATTTGGTGAATTTAAGTGATTGATAATTCAGTGGGAAAATGGTGAGTTGTTGTTTTCCTTTTTTGCCATTTGTGCAAATATTCAAAAACGTCAGAGTTAAAAATCATAAATTCCCTATTCTTTAAAACATTCGCTTCTTAAATATGAATGATAAAAAATGTTTAAACTTCCTAGTAAAATTATAAATATGACCAAATTTATTTAGATTTTGAAAATATTATTTTTGAGGTAGAAAGTTCTTTATGAATGACTTGTAAAAAAAAGTCTTTATATTCAAAAGTTGAAAATTTTCAAATATGCTATAATTTCTAGTCAAATTGTCGACTTTCTAATTTTTTTCAATCAACAAAAATACTCTCTAACGATTAAAAATGAAATTTACACCTTCAGAATTTAATTAATGATTCAAGTTTTGAATTTGTAATTCTCTTGAGTGAAAACTCCAATGTTTCAACGCAAAACAAACGTTTTAAAAAAAAAAGAAAATGGCAAGTATACTTAGGCATCTCCAAGAATAATTTCATAATTATGATTTTTGCTTACATCTATTTCCGCCTTTAGCACCGAACGACATCAATATGAGCGTCACATGCGAGAGGAGAAGGGGTGCAGCGACTGTAGTATAGTTGAACGAAGTGTCTCCATCCAATTTGTTCGCTAGCAGTACCTGCAAATATAAAAAAAAAACAAGTGGGAAATTACTTTAGTATTCATATTGTCCAAACATTACCTTCATTTGAAAATAAAAATGATTGAATTCCATCGGTTCATTAGCGAACAATTAGAGAATAACTTGGTCACAGACACACATACGGACAGGGTCTAAAAATAGTATTTTCAAACGTTTTGGATCTTAACGGCTTAATCTAAACCAAAAACTGCAAAACTTAAATTTGAAAAATTTCCACTCGAAGGCAAAATGAACAAAAACGCTTCCCTAGGCAAAATGAACAGATAAAAAGTGTTTTTCGACATGATACTGACTTGAAAGACTAGTATTGGAACGACGAGAAATGTGTAAGCCAGAGCTGAATTCAGAGATGTCCTCCTGACTCGAGCATTGACCTGGGGTGCCCTGAGGAGAACTGCTGCGAAGACAATGGTGTAGAGCACAGCAACGAGGGAGAGACAGAGGAGAGCCCAGAGCGGTACAAATACCACCTCCCAACTCCAGCCTATGAAACCGTCCAGGCGAAGGGCGAGGAAGATGAATTGGAGAACATTGACCGCGCAGAAGAGCTCTAGCTCGAAGGAACGATCGTGTTTCACAGCCCAAATGCAGACCTGTGGCAAAATGTAAATGGAGAATATAGCATTCTTGATGATAATTTGTTGATAAAGGTTTTTGTGGGGGGGCATTGACGAGAGAACTCACTTAGAATTTACTATTTCAGTTTTAACATAAAAAATAAGAAAAATAACTAAACGAAAATTTGCATTTTTTTCGTAATTTCTGCAGATAAAAAATCTGAAAAATTGGTCGAGTCACTGATTCAATAAACATTTTTCATCATTATATTCAGAATAAATTGTTTGAATAATCTGAGAAACGCCGACGTCAATGATTTATGACGCAGTTAAACTTCAAATTATAATTTTTTATGATTTCTGACTTCAGCCAATTTCGATAAAATGGATACTCACAGCAATAGAGACGATTGATATGAAAATCAAAGGTATGAATACAAGTATCCACAGGTGTCTCTCGGACTCGAGTTTATCGCACACCAAAAGTTCGAACATGAGTAGAATGAGATGTAGAGCCAATGTAATCAGCATGGCCTTGTAGTGGACATATGCATCGCCCTCGAGCCTGGCGTGTGGATGTTTCAGCCACACGTAACTTCCCACAGTGGCCCCCAGAATCACCATGCCCTTCCAAAACCATATTGGGCTGAATATCGACCAGTAACTCCACTCGATGTATCCGTCGAGACGAAGGGCGAAGAGAATGGTGAATATCATGAGACATGTGTGCACTAGAAATTTACTGCAACAAAAATTTGCAAGTTTTTAAAAATTTGTTAGTTATCAAATTAAGTTTTATTAAATCAAGTTTTATTTTTATATTTAAACGCAAATTTGTTAGTCATTAAACGTGGATGTATTCATCAGAAAAATCGCAATTTCAACGAACAAGAATTGATAATTCACTGGAAAGAAAATTGTGATAAATATTTTCATGCTAATGAAAGTGTTATCATCAACACTAGATAATTGTGATTTGAATTTTTGCACTGCAATTCTCATTCTCATCATCATCTGCTTACAAACGAAATCAGCAGGTGAAGTGGTGAAACAGAATAATTCAACTTCACTTGAAGATCATCTGTCGAGGAATACCTCTGAATCTAAAAAAGATATAAAAATTCACGTGAAGGCTTTTTTGTAGAACAGAGTGAGATCTGCAAAAAAGATTTTCACAAAAAAATCATCATTTCCCCTAGATGCCCAGATATACCCAAAGTACTCCGGAGTAAAATCGACTGTTCCTATTTCACTCATTCAATAAATTAGCGAAGATTGAAATCTTAGAAGTGTAGACTATAAAAATTCACATAAAAACTTTTTTTGTAGAATAAAATCAACGAATTATTATAAATATTAACGAACATAAACTGGAAATTCACTGGAAATTCCAAATGTAAATCAATCAAAAATCAAATCACGTCAATCTACTTGAATGGCAACGTGTGTACGACCTCTCCACGATTTACACCTGTGACGAATCCCCACTGGAGCTAAAATCCCGATAAAAAGCTCCACTCCAACATCTCCAGCAATTGAATCATGAAAAACGATCTACCGCCCGCAAAATCAAGCATAAATCCATGAACAATAAATTACCTCGGATTGAAGTCTTGGAAGAGTGTCTGCAGATTCATGATTACAACCCAGATACGCAGAGGTTGGCTCACCGATGTCTAGGCTAATCCTCTCTTAATTCGATTAATTCACTAGTCCTTCGATTTAATTAGCGACTCAACACCCGACCCATATCCTCATTATTTACGATTAATCCTGCTCAATTAGTGAGCGAATTCGCGAGATATTGTTACATCTGACCCAGAAAAATAAAAAATATTTATATTAGTGTTCGTCCCCCTCTGCCCCCCACGAAAAATCGTGCAGCTGCGGCACTGGGGGATTTCCGTTTCGCCCACCAATCAAATTCCAGTAATTCGTCGCCTACCGGCGAGTCTGGGCACCAGTGATTCAGGCACTTCCGTTTTGGGCTGAAGTGAACCTCTTTCCGTGTGTAAACTTAATCATGGCGGTGGGGAAAAATAAGGGGCTCTCGAAAGGTGGCAAAAAGGGAGTTAAAAAGAAGATGTAAGTGAATTAATATTACTACTGGCATGTTCAGGATTTAATTGCGCGATGGAAAATGTTCACTTCGGGAATTTAATATTTGTGATGTTTGCGATGAAAGTGGATTACGGGAGGGCCCGTCCTGTCCACCGACAGGTCGACATGCCGTCAGTCACCAGGATTTTCGTGATTTCAGGGGTTTCATGCTCTCATTTAGATAATTGGCGTTATGATTCGTTAATAATTGTTTGATTGTTCCATTTTGAGGGGCAATTTCATTGTTGGTGGGTGAAAGATTGTTGTTGAAGTATTTGAGGTTATGCACGTATGAAAACATTTGATTGAAATACCTAGATCTTTCTCTGAGAAATTTTATTGGAGTTTTATTAGAATTTTATTTAAAAAATGAGACAATTTTCTTGGAACTGTTTTACCGAAAATTACGCAGCTTTGGGGAGTATTTTTTGATAGACATTCGTTTATAAATGTTGATTTTTCTATGTGACTCATTATCTTGAGGTTTTTTGTATAAAAATTCTTGAGCATGATTTTTTAAATTTTATTCTGTGGATTATTTTATTTTGTGTTGGAATTTTTCCTATGAGAATTCTTGAGCATGAATTGTCTCGTTTTTTCTCTTCAATTGTATCATATGAAATGAATAAAAATACAGTGAAAAAAAATTAATTAACGTATTTTTATTATTTTTGCAGTGTTGATCCTTTCACCCGTAAGGATTGGTACGATGTCAAAGCACCGTCCATGTTCACCACCCGCCAGGTGGGCAAGACCCTCGTAAACAGGACCCAGGGGACCAGTAAGTCAAACTTATTATTGAATAACGAGGCAACTCCAGCTTCACAGAAACTAGGCACATCGTTTCTGTGACGTTTATAGTTGCGAGATAAATTCAATTAGGTACCACAGCGTTACTATGACTAGGGTAACGACTGAATTCACCGTTGAAACATTAATAATTATTATTAATTCCATTAGCCATTTCCGCGTTTCTTTGTTGAATTTTTACACTTGATTTGAGATTAGCAATAATATTATTCTTGGTAATTTTTATGTCTAAATACATGTGGATAATAAGAAGAAACTATTTTTCATTACATCATCAATGAGTAATTACATTCAAAACTTTCACTTTATTAATCACTTGCTAATTATAATTGGATATTTTTCATTATTATGATGATTAGTAATTAAATCTGATATATTTCCATTCAGCTGTCGATGAAGAATTGCATTAAAAAACGTTGCATATAAAATAAATGTGAGAGAATGAAAATAATCCAGATTTCATTGGGACGATCCAAATCAAAGAAAGAATGGACAATTTAATTTAACAGCAATATATAATTAATTTCAGTTGATTTAATGGTCCTAATGGACCATTTGTTTCATTGAGACGATAATGAAAAAAGAGTTTCTTTCAATTACCGATTGCAAAAGAAATCACAATTAATTTTTTTATTCACCATTGTTGGGATAATAAAACATGAATAATGGCAATTTTTTTAATGTCAATCTCTGATGTCATTAAGTCCTAATGAAGAGAGTTTGATAAAAAAATTGTTAACTTTTAGAGATTGCCTCTGAGGGTCTGAAGGGACGTGTATTCGAGGTGTCCCTGGCTGACCTCCAGAACGATCACGATGCTGAGAGGTCCTTCCGTAAATTCAGGCTCATTGCTGAGGACGTGCAGAACCGCTCAGTCCTCACCAATTTCCATGGCATGGACCTGACCACTGACAAACTTCGTTCAATGGTCAAGAAGTGGCAGACACTCATCGAGGCTAATGTCGATGTCAAAACCACTGATGGGTACCTCCTCAGAGTATTCTGCATTGGTTTCACCAACAAGGATCAGCTTAGCACCAGGAAAACGTGCTACGCCCAACATTCCCAGGTAAATCCATTCGAAATTATTCGCGTTGAAACTCCAGTGCAATTCATATTCTTTGATATTTTTAAATCACAATTTTAGGAATATTAAACTGAGTTGCATATATCAAAGCGCACATCTTACCACGCCTTCTCGAATTATTTCATGAAAAGGTGATATATTGTGGAGCGACAGTACATTTCCAAGTCATTCAGAAAGAATATTTTTTGTGAATATCATTAACCGGAGAAATTCTTTAGATTTCGAGGTATTTTTTAGATGGAATTGATGTTGAAATCGAATTAGAAATATCCCAGTTTCGTAATTAATTTAATTTAAAGTGTTTAATATTAAAATTGGTCAACTAAATTGAGTGAAAATGAAATTAGCAGAAGATTTCTCTTAAAAAAACATTTTATGAATAAATAATGAACATTGTTTTGCAAAGTTAAATTTTTTGCTAAATGAAATTGATTTTGAATAAAATTCTGAAGATTGAGAATTTTCTCAAGAGTTACAAGAATGATTTTTAGGTAGAAAATCTATATTTTTTATAGTTTATTTATAAAAAATGTAATCTTCAAAATCTGAAGTTTTTCCCTCATTTTATGAACGTTATTAAAAAATAGATTTTAAATTTTTTCTTCAGATTTTTTAATGTCAACTCCATAATAAAATTCCACTCATAGTTCAGTTTTTGCTGCATATTTCTGAACATACTGAAAAAATGGTAAAAAACCTTTTATTCTCATTCAATTCTACTAAAAGATCTCTCCAAAAATACATCTCCAGAGTATTTAACTAAACTTTAAGAAACATGTTAATTATCCACTTATTTTCCCATTTTATCAACATCTCTGATTAACCGAAAGCTTAATCCACCAGGTCCGTAACATCAGAAGGAAGATGGTCTCCACGATCACCGACGACATCGCCAAGAGTGACCTGAAGGGTGTCGTCAGCAAACTCCTCCCCGACGCCATCGCCAAGGACATTGAGAAGGCATGCCAGGGTATCTACCCCCTCCACGACGTCTACATCCGCAAGGTGAAGGTACTGAAGAAGCCCCGTTTCGAGCTGAGTAAACTCCTCGAGTTGCACGGTGATGGAGGTGGCAAGAGTGGTGAGCCTGGTGAGGCTGGCTCCAAAGTAGACAGACCCGAAGGCTATGAACCACCAGTACAAGAGTCAGTTTAACACCATTGACCAACGTTGAAAAGAGAAAAAGTAAATAAAAATAAAAACCACTTGCGTTTGACAAAAAAAAAAGAAGTTTCTCATTTAAATGCCTCACGAATTTTCACAAGTTATTTTAAAAATAAATATATTCTCATTGGAGTGGGAAAAATCGAATAACCATGATGCAAATGAATTCATGTATCCATTCACTTTATTTTAATTACAATGAGTCGGTACTGATAACAAAAATTACAGTATATAGTAGAAAATAGAGAGGAAATGTGCTACATGTTTTTGTAACTTCAAACGTCGATGGCGTTGGCAACGACTGTCCAGCCACCGATGAGGAATGCTCTGAAGCTGTCGCTCCAGCTGCACAGGGTGTAGATCAGAAGGACGAAGACCATTATCTTCGTGAAAACGTCCACCCAGTACATCCTGGGAAAAATGTACAGGTTCATTAGTGAAGTCGTAAAACGATCAATCAATCTCCTTCATTTTTTTCTGAGAAGAAGGGAATGAAAACATTCTGTTGAGGATTTTTTTGTAATATCTTGCTATGCAAAACACTTCTTCAGGAAAATTTTCCTATTATTATTTGATTCCTAGGTTATTAGCGAATACTCAAGTCAGAAATTGATTGAGGTTTTTCATTATTTTTTTTGTTGCTGGATGGTAAATATAAGATGCTTGCTTTTTTATTTCAAATGAATGATGAAGTATTGATCTGTCTTATTCAATCATAAATGAGATTTTATGGATTTTCATTATTAAATTATAATAAAATATTGATCTGCATTATTTCATGATTTATCGAAATAAAAAATCCATGAAATAATGCAGATTAATTCGAAGTAAAAAATAATCTGCATCATTTCACAATTTTGTCACGTGAATTTTCCGTGTGTCCCACAAATTATGAAGCGAATTAAAAATGGGAGATGGGCTACTTACACTCGCATATGCCTCCGAGCCGCAGGTAGCGTCTCGGGAGGCTCATTGAGGATGTAAATTCGTGCAGCTCTGATGCAGGCCTCGAAGTAGGCATCCAAATCCATGTCATCCCCGTTGAGCTGGTAACTCTTGCGCTCTCTTTCATTGAAATTATCCCTAACAACCTCGATGCTGTGGTTTTCAAAGTCCCATTGATTGTTGGCGTAGTACTCGAACACCTCGAAGCCCTTGTTGATTCTTCGATGTACTCGGCACATGCTGAATAAAAAATGAGATGACAGTGCAGAGTCAAGTCGTGTTGATGATTAGATTCTATTCTACAGGAGGAGATGAATGATGAATTGATAAAATCGTCTTTCAAGTTCATTATTCAGATTTAAAAAAATAGTAGAGGAACCCAGTGCTTTCGGTCATGAATTTTATTAAATTTCTATTGCAATTCAAAAGAATATTATTGAAATTTGTTGAATTCTAATAAAATAGGTTTTTCTATTCATTTTTTTCCATACGTCTTGAGAACATGAATTATTTGAAGTGATAAAGAAATGCTCAATGAAATATTCTATAGAAAAAAAATCAATAGCATTCGATTTTTCTGCATAACTTATTCTATTGAGACATTTTCCATAGAAATCCTTCAGTTCAAATTTTTCAAGTGTTTTTGTTTACTTTTTTAATAATTATTTTAATAAAAAACAGAAATAGAGTGGAAGAAACTTAGAGAAATTCTCATAGCAAATTTCTCACTGGATATAATTGGGTAGAAAAATGAAATTACTGATTTTTAAATCGAAATATCGAAATCCAATAGAATTTTCTATCGAATTCGCTATTTTTTTTTAAAGGCAGAACACTCCAAATAGCCTTTCCCCGGTCTGATGTTGGCAATATCCCCTGATGAATGCAACTTACATGGGTTTATGACCAGCTAGAAATATCAGAGTATCGATGAAATAAGCCGGTATCATGTGGAAAAATAAAACGCATATATTGTGAATAAAGCGTGATTTCTTCATGCTACCACCTGGATACCAAACAACACCATTCAGCGGAACCTTTTCCGTTATTTTACGACCACGCTCAATAATCTCCCTCCAGGAGACTTTGAACTCGTGGCTACTCGTTAAATTGTAAACTCTCCTCTGGTCTTTGGTGTGTATGAAGTTCCATGATACACCGAGTATGGCATTGACTGCTATGTCAACAGGAAGGTAGTCGGCGTAACCACGCTCGTCGCAGTACATGGTTCTTATTACGCCTTTTCCTGCACCAATTAGGAGGCCTGTTGGTCCGTTTATATTGTCTGTCCAGCCGGGAAGGGGCTCCTTCCACACTGGTATTATGATACTTGGGCTGCAACCGAATCATTTATTTTATTGAGGAAAAAGAGATTTAGATTTTTGTGCGTAAATCATTATTTCGAAATTTTCTCAGTGGAAAATTTCATTCTCAAGCGTTTTCCGTTATTTTTAAAATGTTTTTCGTAATAAAATCCAAGAAAAATCAGCAAACAATAATTCAGTATGATAATTTTTTTTATTTTTTTATTTTTTTTAAATTTTTAGTACGATAAATATATCGAAAAATCAACTTGGGCTGCAATTGAATAATTCATTTTATTATAATTTATTTTATTTAGGAAAAAGAGATTGAAATTTTTCTGCGTAAATCATTATTTTGAAATTTCCTCAATGGTAAATTTCATTTTCAAACGTTTTCCCTTATTTTTGAAATGTTTTTTGTAATAAAATCCGAGAAAGAACAGCAGAGAATAACTCAGTATGATAAATTATATTGAAAAATCAACATCTGTTGTGAAATTCAGGGAAATGTTGCATAAGTTTGAATAAAAAAAATATTTTACATCAATTTTTTAAGTTGTAGCCGATTAAAAATGTCAGAATGATGAATGCAGTTTTTTCCAATCGGCTGTTACTTCTCCATTTTTCATCATGCTTAAAAATAAAGATTTCATCACAGAAAATGACACGCAAAACTCAATTACCGAAGAATTATGGCTGGAATATCGGCCATGACCTCCTCCACAAGTCCCTCGGACAATGCTTTCGTGAAAGCATAAGTGTTTGGCAATTTCCCCAGAATTTTATCGGTCATAGCCTCGACGACGTCGTCCTCCATCCACTCCACGCACTTGATTATCTTGTGGGGATCCGCTGGCGGAGGGTACGGCTTCTCCTGGAGCACCTGCAGAAAGAATAAATTTCCTTTAAGGGGGGACTCACTGAAATTTTTACTGATGAGTTTACGACTTCTGTTTTAATATAAAAGAACGGGAAAAAATTGTGTTTTTAATTTTTTTATTGATCAGGAAGAGACTAGGGGAATAAAATCATGAAAAATGTCCTTACAACGTAATTCTCAGCCCATTGACTCAAATTTTAATTCATAAACGCATAATATGTACACAAACATAACTGAACATTTTTTTTGTTTCAAGTTTTTGCTCAAATTTGCAATATAACTTTTGTTTTAAAATTTTCCTCAAATTTGCTAAAGTGAAGATTTGAAAAAATCGTAATATTCAACTACATTATAAATCATTGAAGTAGGAGTTTTTCAGATTTTTCGAATGATTTATTCAGAATATAATGAGAAAAACTGAAAGATTTATATTTATTTATTTATTGAAACACGAATCCAACAGCTGAACCCAATAATAGCATTCAAAACATACTGAGATATATATCCACGGCAGAACAAGTAAATTAAGAATAGTAAACATTAATTGAAAAATAAAAATAAAAAATGAAAAAAATCTGTGATTTCGAGAAAAAAAAAACAAAAAATGAATAAATGAATATTTATGCATGTATTCTGTATTTGTAAACGAAATTTCAAGTCAATCGATTGAGAATTGCCTCATGAGGACACATTCGAAGTCTCCATCAACCAAAAAATCACCCCCTAATTGTTTTTCATTTTTTTACATTAAATCAGAAGTAGTAAACTCATCAGCGCGATAAATAAAGCCTCTCCGATTTTGAAATTTCACTCGTGATCTCCCCTTAACATCTCTGACATTAGTCCCCTCTCAATTCCCTATTCAACGCTGCATTTTGCAATTGTTAAGTTTACAAAACGGGTCACTGATGGTTATTAATAGTCCCATGTACATACTTTCTCCTCCAAGTGACAATAAGCTGTACTGATGTGAGCAAATAGCTCCAAGTGTTTCATTTCTTTGGCCAATTCGAGCATTTGTTTGGTACCACGTGTATTCAGCAATACAGCACGCTTCAGACGCTCGTCGAATCTGTAACAATTGTTACATAATTCTGTGAATAAAGAATTTGGGAGGGGTGGAGGAGGGGTCAGGGAGTTTGGAGAATCATGCGATGTTATTACCTCCACGGGGGGCGCAATAATTTCGTGTAAAATATTACCAGTCACATGGGAATAAAATGCAACACCAGCAGTTATAGGAGAAAGGAGTTCGCTTTGATTTCAATACACCGAGTTGATAACAAGTGTTTGCACTGCAGTTTTTACTTGATACCACGTTTCCGGATGCGACCGTATCAAGTTTATTCTAGCATTTTTTTATGCAGAGTTCGAATTGCAGATTTTTTTTTCGGTTTTTTACAAGTTTTAATTCAAGAGCTCAATAGAATAGTCGGGGAATTTCATGGAAAATTCTGATGAATTTCTGTTGGAGGTTTATGAGGATTGTTTTTGAGTTCTAAAAAAGTTTTAAAAGTATATTTTATGGGAAAATGGCGGCAAATTTTGATAAAAAAAAAAATGTAAAATTCATGATTGAGAATTCTTCTAGAATTCCAAAAGCAATTCAATAAAATTTTCACACGTTTGAAAACAATTTAGCAGATTTATTTCCAGAAATTTCCACAGAAACATAAAAATTCAATTATTTCTTCATTTCTGTAATTCGAAAAAAATAAAAAACAAAGGATTTGTTTTTTCATTTCAACTGCAATTGATGCATTTCAAATTGCCCGAAATTACCTCACGGTAATTTCAAAACGGCACAATATAATAGTCAGTGAATTGGCTGGAGAATTCGACTGAATTCAGAAATTTTATAAGAATTATATTTGAGTTGTTCAAAATTTTCTGGAATTTCAAATGGCTATTTTATGGGAAAATGTCGGTGAATTTCAATTTTTAAGGAAAAACTATCACATTCATGCTTGAGAATTCTTCCAGAATTCCAAAAGCAATTCAATAAAATTTTCACACGTTTGAAAACAATTTAGAAGATTTAGCTCCCGGAATTTCCGCAGAAAAATAACAATTCAATTATTTCTTCATTTCTTTAATTTAGAAAAAATGACAAACAAAGGAAAATTTTTCATTTCAACTACAGCAGACGCATTTTAAAATGCCAGAAATTACCTCACAGTAGCTGCCCCATGGTAAACAATGCTGATCTTCTCGCAAAGCATTTGTCTATCCTCGGGCGACAATCCCAATCCTGGTAACGATACATCCCCATTAACGACGCAGACGGACTTGTGAAGGGCCGGCAGACCCCGCAAATTCTTCACTTTCTCGAATAGCTGGAACATCAAATCCCCATAAATTCATTTATACGATGACACGAGTGTCGCAATAAATTAAATCGTTAGATAATGGGAATGTGCATGCACCGTGTTTTGAGATTTTGCGATATCTTCATTGAAATCTCCAGTCACGAGCTCGGGTTTCTGTGTTAAGTGGAGGCATTTAGTATAACTACTGGATACTCTCACATTCTCTCGAGCGTGCCCTCGATATCTTTTGCGTGAGACAATATGTGTCAATTATGGGTGGAGCAAAATGAAACAATCGAAAAACGCCTATTTGACGCGATTCAAGCAAAAAAAATTGTTTTTATCAATTTTTTTCTATTATTTTTCGTCATCACGGCCGTGAGGCAGCGAATTACGAGCGCGAAGCGCGGAATGACAAACGATACCATTCCACATACGGCCTAAAAAAACTTTTCTAGCTCACATGATTGTAGCCCTCGCCTTTGGACCTATTGACAAAACATACTATTTTTTTATTATTGGGAATATTGATGAGAATAATAATATTCTATTCGTCTTATAATTCAATTGATTAGATTAGTCCGATCACACTTCTTTTTTCATTCGATTGAAGTTTAATCACATTTCCTTTTTCCCCCTCTGGGTCTCCCTTTGGACTTTGGATTTTGCTGTTTCATTTTCTTTTCAATGAATCCACTGACAAAATCTGCCGTCAAAACTTCTTAATAATTTTCCATTCTACTGAATGCAAAATTACTATTCTCGTCAGTACTCCCAATAATAATTTTAATAATTTTTCAATGTTTTATTTTATCCTTCCAGATTATCCCGTTATGATTATTTCAGTCGACTTAGCGCTTATTTAACCATTTATTTATTAAAGGCTCCAGGGAAACGCCCATCGAAGCCTACAAAGCAGTGCAGAGTAGTACAAAGCATTATTGAAAGCGCAAAGCCCCACACAACACGAACATTTTTTTTTTAAACGATTTTATCCAAGTTTTCGTGGAATATCTCCGAATCTAAGGCAGATAGCGAAATTTTCGTAAGAACTTGTTTTATAGAGCAAATTCAGGGCTATAAAAAAGGTTCAGACAAAAAATTTGCTATCTCTCTTAGATTCTAAAATATTCATTGAAAACTGGCCAGTGAAAATAGATATGTACTTTCAGAGAAAATATTACTGAAAATAATATTATTGCTGCTTGAATCCTCAAAGATAATGAATAATTATCTCTCAATCACCAATAGATCACTCCCGGAAAATCGGAAATCTCGCCGGATTGCATAACTCCGCAGTAGTTAGGGTCATCCTATCACCAGCCATAAAAATTCATCAAGCGACATTTCCCCAAACCCTCCACTCCACTGATTAATCTCCGAATCAAACATTTAACTCGAAATTCACGAGAGAATGATGTATCGGGGAAAGTTTGAGTGGGTAATCATACTGATTGTGAATGTCAGCCGGATGTTTTGCAATGCACACGTGTGCGGAGTTTTAACATATTTCTATTTCGCTCGATTAAAATTGAAATCAATTCGCAATTGGGGATTGACATTTTCCCTCGTTTCGGGGGAAAATAATCTCGCTTCGATTGGATTTTACAGCACGCGATCATCGCTGCGGTTGCAGTAGAGAGATCAGAGACGGAGCGATAAGTCGATTCCTGTGGACTTGGCTCTCAGCTGAGTTTTCGAGGAACATCTCCGAATCTACAAGAGATAGGGAAATTTTCACTATTACCTTTTTTGCAGCTCTCAATTTTCTCTATGAAAAAGGTTCTAACAAAAATTTTGATATCAGCCTTAGATTCCGAGATATTCACGGAAAACTGAATGATAGTCAGGCGATAGTTTATTTCCTGGTATTTTTTTGTTATTCATCTAGCCTTTGAACAATATTTATCGAATGTAGTTCTTGTCAGGAAGTTCTCGGTATCAAAAGTCGATTAAGAACTGGGGGCTAACGAGAAATTGATGACTGCAACCTCTGACAGGCATTAGATCCGATGACGTTGGGAGAAAAAAAATAAATCCTTGATCTCATGGAAGGCTGCGGTTCTGTGTAATTTGTAACGTCAGATGACAAATACTGGGGTCGGAATAATTCCGGAAAAGTCCTCGACAATTCATTATTCACGTCGAAACGGAATAATCGGGGATGTGGGTAAAACGGACAGTTTTCAGTCTTCAAACTCAGCCGGTCGCGTCATTTGATCAGAAAATGGCGATGAGTCTCAGCCGAGGTTTTTCACTCGTTGAAAAATTTCCGGAAGTTTTTCCCCCGTCAATTTTTCCTCAGCGAATTCTTCTTGTTTTGAGTTTTTTCAGAAAATGCTGATTGAATTTTTTTTTCTCTTGACGAGGAAGAAATTAAAAATTATTGACAAGAATCGTCTTTTCCGGAAGGTAAAATTTCTTGGAATAGAATAGAATAATTTATTTCCTCGATGCTACTATTACAGTTCTACATCTACAGAGGCCACATAAAAATATCTCCAGTAACACTCCAATAAATTAGGTTCTTATATCAATAATAATAATGCAGAATGAGTAGCGATAATATTGAATAGAAAAACCTAGCGAATTCACGAGACAATTCTACTGGATTTCTATTAAGCTTTCTATTAGTTTTTGGCTGATTCTATTGAAATGTTCAATAGAAAATCTTTTGTAGAAAAAGTCAATAGAATTCGATTGAGATATTTTCTATAGAAATTCGAAGTTCTTTTGTTTAATTTTCTTGATGAAGAGAAAAGAAAAATAGAATGAAAGACGCTTAGAAAATTTGAGTCAAGGAAATTCTGTACAAAATATCTCAATAGAATTAGATAAATAGAAAAACTAATAGTTTTTTCTACAGAATATTTTCTATTCAACATTTCAGCAGAATCAGCCAAAACTAATAGAAAGTTCAATAGCAATCCAATAGAATTCACTGGAAGTCAAGCGAATTCTCTGGAATTCCCTACAGAATTTTTTCGTGAGAAGAAAAATCAACGTGTGTCAACCAATTGTGTGATCAACCGTTGTAAAATTAATAATTCAAGGATTGATTGGCCTTGCGGTCATTAAATAAAACACCAAATCAATTCAGTAGCGAAGTGGTAAACCAGTATAAGTCGATTTTGACTATTGGCCAGTTTTCAATAAATATCTCGAAAGCTGAGGGAAATAGCGAAATTGTCGTAATTTCCTTTTTTATAGCTCTCAATTTGCTCTACAAAAAAGGTTATAACACCAATTTTTCTATTTCCCTTAGATTTTGAGATATTCATTGAAAACTGGGCAATAGTCAAAATCGACTTCTACCGATTTACCACTTCACTACTGAATTAAAGATGATGTGCATACTTGACAAGTATGCACATCTTAATTGATTTGATGTTTCATTTAATGACCGCAGGCCAATCAATCCTTGAATTATTAGAAAAATCAACATCTCAACACTTTCGTCTACCAAAAAATATCTATTGAAAACCCCAATCCAAACTTGCATAATCCCCCACAGAATTTCCGAAAACCCAAAACCAATTTCTCAACAGAATCTCCTGGACCCGCAATAGAAATTCCCTAGTCTTTCAATAAAATTTCTCCACACCAATCTCGCAACATACAAGACAAACAAAAAGTTATTATTCTTGATGACTAACAAAAAGTTGTTATTCTTGATGCCGTTGTCATCAAGAATAACAACAGCCTTCATCCCCCCGCCCCCATTGTATTAAAAAACATTCATACAAAACAACTCCAGCAAAAGGCCTCGAATTACCAATGCAAATGATAAAAAAAAACCTCGGAAATTTTTTCCTCCGGCCGTCCCTAACAATGCCTCCCCGCGTAATTGTCCCTCCGCGGCAGGCGATTTCGGCAAAAAATGAATTGACTAAGCGCAAGTCGTGGGTTCCGAGTCGCTGGCCTTGCCTCCTGCGCACGTACGATATTACGAGTTTGGCCGGGTATTCCCCTCCACAGGCCCCCGGGAATACCTTGGCCAGTGAGATAGTTATTGCGTTGAAATCATCAGGAGAGATGTGACATAACGGACCAGCCGACACCGGTTACTTTCACCAGACAGATAATACCCATAAGCTCCGCTTGTTACCCTCACTGAGGCCTTGACTCTGTTTTCTCACAAGTGCGAGACACCATACAGCCGAGACACATCACGATTCTCAAATTGTCATACAATATTTTTCATGACTTCTCAATGGCGAATGCTCATCAAAGTCACTAATTTATTTTAACGTAATAATTGCCCCCATTCCGGATCAGTAATGGAACAATGATGGAGCTGTAGCCTTGGATTTTTGTAATTATTTGGGATCAAGCCGCTTCAGACGTGATGAGAAGAACACGTATGAAAAAATTCAATAGAAAACTATTCAATGGAATTCTATAAGAATTCTATGGGGGTCTCTATAGGATTTCTATTGGAATTCTATTGACCAATTCTAGTTGTTTTTTGCGCTGATTCTATTAGATACTCGAGAAGAAAAAACCAATAGATTTCGAATTTCTGTTGGAATTTTTCTCTTGAGATTTTTTCGATTTGAAATTATTGGGCACAAGTTTTTTCCATTGGATTTTGTTTTATTTTGCACTAATCTGAGTGGAAAAAACTTAGAAAATTGAGAAAATTCAAGAGCACATTCCAAACAGAAATTCGAAATGTATTGAATTTTTCTTATCGAATATCCAATAGAATCAGCGCAAAAAACAAAATGGAATTCAATTGGATTCTTCAATAGAATTCCAATAGAAATTTTATAGAAACCCCATAGAATTCCTATAGAATTCCAATAGAATTTTCTGGCGAATTCGCTAGGTTTTCTTTTGAATTTTTTCATGCGTGACATTCATAGAAAAATCGAGAGAATTGGGCTGGAATTCTCTTGAAAAATTGGGCCGCTTATCTGGGCCTTTTTTTCTCGATAGAAATGTTCAGTGCAAAATTCGATAGAAAGCGTTTTTAAAAGCAAGTTCAGTAGAAATCCAACAGAATCTTCTAGGAATTCACTAGGATTTTCAATGCAATTTTTTTGAAAAATATTGAACGCTCGAAAATTCTAAAGGTTTTTGGCCACTTTTATCGCAAAATTTCGGAGCTTTACTGCGCGTTTTTATAGAGAATGTCCAATAGAAACTATTCTATAGAAAAAATCAGTAGAATTTCATCTTTTAAACACCTTTTCGTATGAGACATGTTCGATAGGAATTCCTGAGCATGAATTTTCCAAAGAAATGTTTAATGAAAAATCTTCTATAGAAAAAACTCGAGGCATTCCCTCAGAAATACCTCAGTTCAATTTCCCCGTTTTCAAATATTCCTAAAAGAAAACAGAAGGAAATAACAGTGAAAAAACCTTAGAAATGCCGAGGAATTCCCACAGAAAATCTCCCAACAGAAAAAGTTGTGCAGAAATTTCACTGATTTCCAATAAAATAATCTCTCTGGTTATTTGTTATTAAAAAAACCCGCAGTAAAGCTGTGGAATTCTCCGACAGAATCATCCAAAAGACTATAATTTCCCACCGAATTGGCTAGAATTTTTCCACCAATGTTTTTCGTGCATCCTTTTATCCCGATGACATGCACCTTTTTATGCGGAGCAACCACTTGGCACTTTTGACGCGCTTTCACTCGCCACACATTTTTGTGCAATCCTTAATGAATGATGTCCCCCTGATGTAATAATTTACTTCATCATTCTTCACTTACCGCCGAATTAAAGATCTCCTCGAGTCGATTTTTCGGATCTTTTCCCTTCTTCGGTCTCACGAGAATGTGTATTTTACCCACATTAGGTATGCAGCGTAAAAATTTTTCCACTATCACTTTACCGAGAAAACCCGTCCCACCAGTGAGAAGAATCTCTTTATTCTCAAACATATCAGCTATTCTGTCCGGTAAATTTTCCATATTCGGCTCTGTCATGTTTACCAGACCCCCAACGCCTCTGGAAAAATAATAAAACATTTTATTAGTGAATAAAGGTCGAATACAGCGTGTTTTCATGAGAGAAGAGTCAAGGCAAAGTGCATTAGAAACCTGTGATTTATACGACTCTGTTATTCGCCAGACTGAGAATGTTCATGTGTGCAGAGATTTGGCAATTCCCTTTCATTCGGCTTGAAATTCAATTATGTTTATCTCGTGATTTTTATTAATTTCTCTCTACAAACACAAGTACTCCAATTTCTTAATATTTAATTATCAAAACCTTTCACTATCTCCGTTTCACTCGCTATATTCCACCCGATTCTCGGAAATCATTCAATTTTTCTATCTTTATACGAATTCGTTGGAAAATTCTATTGGATTTTTATTGAATTTTTTATCAGTTTTAAAATATTCTACAGAAAAAGTCAGTAGAATTCGATTTTTCTATGACTTATTCTATTGAAATATCTTCTATAGAATTTCATCGACTCAAATTTTACGAGTTTTTTTTTGGATTTTCTTGATGAGAAGAAAAGAAAAATAAAATGGAAAAAACTTGTAAAATTGCCGAGGAAATTCTGTGAAATTCTAGGAAATTCTATTGACTTTTTCTATTGAATATTTCAATAGAATCGGCCAGAAACTAATGGAAAGTTCAATAGAAATCCAATAGAATTTTCTAACGAATTCGCTAGGTTTTTCAATCGGATTTTTTATTAGTTTCTGGCCGATTTTATTGGAATTTTCAATAGAAAATGTTCTACAGAAAAAGTCAATTCTATAGAATTTCCTTGACTCCAATTTTCCGAGTTATTTTGGTTTGATTTTCTTGATAAAAAAAGAAAAATGAAATGAAAAAAACGTGTAAAATTGCCGAGGAAATTCTATAGAAAAATCGAATTCTATTGACTTTTTTCATTGAACATTTCAATAGAATCAGCCAAAAAGTAGCAGAAATCCAATAGAATTTTCTAACGAATTCGCTAAGTTCGTCTATTAAATTTTTTCGTGCCTGTGCTTTCGCAGACAATTTTTCGTATTACTGCATCTTTAGACACTCCACGTGTATTTATCGCGCCTCGGGTAGAACTGGTTTAGTATTACGATATTTGATGTGTACATTTCTTCGGGGTGACTAGAGCAGTCAGTTTGATTTTTCCATTAGACCGGAGAATGCACATTAGAGCGATTGATGAAACAATGGAAAGTTGCTAATCAGAATTTTCATTGTGATTGCGATTAATCGGGTAATCAGGCCGATATTTCCGCGCTCATTGAACTTCTGCGCAATTAATCGAATTAATTCGACGATATCGCGATAAAATGACCGTTGAAATTTCGCATTTTATTTTTATAAATTCGTAGTTGTTATTTCATCTCACTATTCGGCACTAGCATTGGCATATCATGAAGAATATCGTGAAAAATTGAAGTGAAAATTTGTTCGACGAATTAAAAAAACAGCATTTTACTGAGGAAAAACCCACGTGAACAATTGATGTAGTTTCTGCACAGGTGCCTGCACCGCACGAAGTCTCCAAACTGACTATCCCTTTTAACGATACCGGGACTAACCCGCACTCAACCGACGGAATAGAACTGAGTGAGCAAATTTTTTTTTTCACTCCCGAATGCTGGACACTCGTGGGTACCCCACACTCGACGTATGATTGCGTTTTTTTTCGTGTGTTGGTGCAGTTGTCGTTTATTTTACTCCGAGACCGTGCAATCTTTTTCCCTCACCACTTGGAGACCTGATTCGAGTTGAAGATATGTGCGTGATTGGGGGGGGAATTGTGGTCCAAACATTCAGGAATTATAGGCGGCGGTGGGAGTGGGGGGAAGAGGATTCGGTGTAGTCAGGTGATCCCATCACTGTTTTTTTTGTGTTATTTTTTTTTCATTTTGAATTATTTTCATATTTTAAATTCCATTTATTTTTTTTATTTATTTCGTACTATTTTTGTTTTTCAATTTTCATTTCTTTTTTATTTGATTTAATTTATCTTAATTTTTTTATTCATTTTCGTTATGTTATTTATCTTATTTTATCTTCATTTTATTATTTTATTTTCATTTTTTAAATTTGTTTTTCTTTATCTTCTTTTTTTAATTTTTATTTTTATTTTTTTATTTTGTTAGATATTGATTTATTCAATCGTTGGGTGAATCGATAGGGGTTGGGGTTTCATTTTGTAGACAGGGACGTTTTCAATTGAGAAAAAAATGCTTTTTTCTCTCAAAATTACTGTTTTTATCTTGAAACTTCAACATAATGTTTAATTTTTAACAGAAAAATCATTAATTTTGACTAAAGAACAACATTTTGAAAAATATGAAACATTTGAAAACATGAATTCATATGAAAAATATGCAACAAAAAATTGTTTTTCTTCGATTTTATCATGAGAAACAAATGAAATATCCCTGGAATAAAATAAAAAAATTTACGCTCAATAACTACAATAGAAAAATCTATTGACTGTTTCATATCTAATATTCTTTAAAAAATGAGCATTAGCACAAAAAAATTAATTTTTTCAAATAGATTTCTTGTCTTTTCTATTAAATTTTTCCATACGTTGATTTAAACTCCCCTTTTCCTAACGTTTTGTTCTAAATATGTGACACAAAAATACCAAACTTAATATATGTCTTGAAATTTAATAAACACAAAGAAAAATTACGAAACAATACAAAAACTTGAATTCACACGATTACAATGCTTCATTAAAATGCAAAAAATGCATGAACAAATGGAATTGTATTAATTACATTTATAAATTCCCTGCTGAATATTCTCCCTTCATTTAATATTTCCTCCATTGCGCCACGGAATTTTCAAGAATTCATTATCAACGAATGAACGAATGAACAGCCAATTGACGAAAACGATAATACTCGTCCCGTCGATTGGACCGCGGTATTTCATAAAACCGTGATTTATATCCATCTCTCCGAGAGAGCAATCGACGGGTGGGGAAAGGTCAGCAGATAAGGGAGACTTCGATGCTTGCGTCAAGTGGAGAGAACGAAACCCGTGGTCCAAGCAAATGAGTCAATGAATATGGACATCCGGATGAAAATGATAATGTTACCGCATTTACACTCTCGTTGTTTGACTTTCCTCAATGACGTGGGAATATTTTTTCCATTTTACGTGCAGAGTGATGATTGAGTTTCATTATACGCGAATGGAGAATTTCAAATGACGAAATTTTAATTAATCCGGAGGTTTGGACGGCCGATGTTTTTATCATAAATGCGATTGACAGTTTCGTAATTTGATTGAGAAGAAAATTGCTGTTCTCCATTCATCGTCAGTATTTCATGCATTCTATGCCATTTTTTAATAATACATTTTATATCTTTCATAGTAAAATGAGATTTTTATTCTTGCATTGAACTTATTCAATTCAAATTGATTTTTTTTCTTTAGCTTTTATAACATCAATTTCTGTTTCTCTTTTCACTGCTTTTCATTGGATTCTCATTGAAAATTTCGAACAATCTCAGCAGAATGGGTGTGAGAACCACAATCCATGATTTTTTTAAATAAAATATTCTCCATTAAACTTTCCTATTGAAGAACAGATAGAATTTGAGTAGAATTTCGTCGGTTGACTTTTTGATCATAAATGCGATTGACAGTTTCGTAATTTGATTGAGAAGAAAATTGCTGTTCTCCATTCATCGTCAGTGTTTAATGCATTCTGTGCCAATTTTTTAATAATACATTTTATATATTTCATATGAAAATAACATTTTTATTCTTGCATTGAACTTATTCAATTGAAATTGATTTTTTTTCTTCAACTTTTATAACATTAATTTCTGTTTCTCTTTTCACTGATTTTTTTCGATTCTCATTGAAAATTTTGAATAATCCATTGATTTTTTTTATCAAATATTCTCCATTAAACATTCCCATTGAAGAACAAATAGAGTTTCAATAAAATTTCGTCAGTTGATGTTTTTATCATAAATACGATTGGCAGTTTCGTAATTTGATTGAGAATGAAATTTCTGTGCTCCATTCATAATCACTATTTAATTTATTCTCCATAATTTTTCATCAATACATTCTACATATTCAACACAAAAATTTCTATTTTCAATTTTCTATTGAATTTAATCAATAGGATTTTTTAGGAAATACTTTCCCATTCAATTTTTTCGCCCATAATTGATCCAATTTATTACAAAATAAAATGAAACGTCTTATACTTCACATAATGAATTTATCGAATGCTATATCTTCGTAATTAAGTGTTCACCATCCTCTCAAAAATTATTCTCCCCCTCACTGATTAATCACCAGAATACCTAAAAAGCTTTTAAGGGTGGGGAAAACCCTCAAATATTAACAAAAAAATGATTTTTGATCGTCAGTGGTGGAATGCTCAGCTCCCGAAGCAGTTCGACCTCTATTTGGTGACGCAATTTACTTTCGTGCTCAGCAACTCTCTGGGAGGGGACCGAGTTGCCGAGTCAAACAGGAGAGCAAGTTAAACGATTTCAACATTTCAGGATGCCAAAGCCAACTGCACACCGTGAGTACTCCACCATTACACGTACCACTGGCCAACCTGTTTAGCTACGCATGCTTCTCAATACGCCTTCACTATTTTTCGTTTGTTATTGGGACGTTTTTTATGTACTATTTTGCGGATGACATGCATGAAAAAAAAAAATTATTGAAAAACCTGGCGGTTTCTTGAAGAAAATTTGATAAATTCCTGTTGAAACTCTTCAGGAATTTCATTGGGAGTTGTTTTGAAATTCTGTTTAGTAATTTTATTCATTTTTTTGCGCCAATTATAGTGAAGATTATGCACATTTATCGTGACATTTTTACGTGAGATATTTGGTACTAAAAAATTTGTAGATTTTGATTCTTCTATGAAAATTTTTGCGCATAATTTCTCTGATTTTTTTCCACTGTAGTCTTATTTGTTTTTCATTAGAAAATCCAAAAGAACAAAAAATTAGAGAATTTGTGTCGGAGAATTCGCGTAGAAAAAATTCCAACAGAATGAGTTTTATAGAAAATTCAAAATCACCTATAGATTTTGAATTTTCTTCTTAATTTTTCTTTTAAAAATGGCCATTGATAAACGCACAGTGCAACTGCATAATTTCTAATAGACTTAGCGTGAAAAATGAATATAATTTTTTAATACAATTCAAATAGAAATTCAATAGAATTTCCCTTGAAACTCAACAAGAATTCTGTTAGAGTTGTTTTAAAATCCTACTGAATAATTCTATTCATTTCGTGCTCCATTTCTCAACAGATATTGACAAGAAACAAAACGAGATAGTTATTTTTCTATAGAAAATTCTAGGCATAAATTTCCCAAATGTTTTCCATTGTATTTTTATTTATTCTTTCCTAAGAAATTTTTTTAAAAACACCTGGAAAATGCAGTCCCAAAAATTCTTATTTAATTCCAATCGAATATCCCAGCGAAAGCCCCAGATTTTTCTATTGAATTATCCTGTACCTAGAAAAATGGATATCAACATGAAATGAAGGGATTGTGCAATGAGCAGAGGACATACATCAGAAACTTATTTAATAATATCTATTCATACGATCCAGTACATGTACTCTTTATTTAGACTTGAGCTGTCTTTCAGTAATCGTAAAATTAACCCATTCATCATGTGTTGTCATGTGGGGAATGAGTTCCCGCAATTTTCCTGCAATTTCTAAAATCATCAATCTTCCTCCAAAAGTGGACTTTCTATTTTTGCTTAAACATTTAAAAAATGTTCTCTAACGCTTCAATATTGACATTCAAATTCAGGCCGGCAAAGTTTAAACAAGAAAAGCATTTCACTGGAGAAAAAATAGCCAAAGTACTTGGACATCCTCAATCGTAACAATAAAATTCAGTCGTCTGTTGGGTAGAGATTAGAACTCATTGACTTCTCTCAATGTTCTCGTTGAGGTAATTGCGAACAGCTTGGAGTACAGGAACCAGAGGACTCCTACACAGACTAAAAACATGAAAGTTACGTCTGCGAGCCAATAGAGCGCAAAGATTCTTCTGGCTTTGGGGAGCGTCGCTGGATCTTCCTTCAATATGTACTTTCGAGCTCCCAGAACGTATGTCTTCATGTACTCGTTCCAGTCGTAGGCCTTCGTATCCATGAAGAAAACCTCTTTATCAGCTGGTAGTAATTGCTCCCTCAGTTCTTTCATTCTGTCATTTCTGGAAATGAGAAATTTTTAATTACTACTAATTCATTCATTCTCCAGGAAATTCTCCTGCAATTCTATTCGTTAATTGGACACTTATTCTATCTACTTATTTTATTGAATGATTCCGTAGACAATAATATTCAATTACGGATGACAAAAATTAATTATTAATTAATTAATAATTCAGTAAGTCATTTAAAAAAATTAGAAATTAGAAATTTCAATTAAGTTCAAGAACGCAAGGTATGGCAATTTTTATAACAAGCCATTACAAAAATATTCAATTGCGGATGAGAGAATTTAATTGATAATTAATTAATAATTCAGTGAGTCATTCAAATTTTAAAAAATTAATAAGTTGTGGGCGTTAAAAGATGCCTGTAATGTATACGTTCTTTTAATTGCCTGTAATTTTCGGGATTTTTTGGGATTTTTCAATGTAAAAAAATACGTGCCTGATGTTTTTATTAATTTCATTTTCCCAGTGAGTAATTTCACTGAATAAATAAATTAATGCAACAAGTCAATTACTCGAATTTGAAATTTCACTGTAATGAAATACCTCAGAGTAGCCCGTAATCGTTACCTGAAAATCCATTGTTTCATCATGTAATATTGGACGAGTCTCATACCCCAGCTGACCCTGCGTTGCACTCTCACCAGAAATGGTTTATGACCAGTTAAAAAACACAGTGCATCAACGAAATACGCTGGCAGTAGGTGGAGAAATAAGACGAGAACCTTGTGATAGTACTTGTTGTTTGTTACTCCACCGCGTGGATACCAAAGAATACCTGAAAATTGAGAACATAAAGTTACACATGAATTGCAATTCATGTTCTGGCAAATTTTGAAAATAATTTTGTATGGAAATTTCATTTGTTTTTCAATAGGATAGGTGAAAAAACTACTGATTATTAGGGTTTGCAATAGAATTAAAAACCGTATTAATCCAAAGTTAACAGAATTTCTATTCATATGATTTTGAAATTCAGGGAAGAATTTCGATAATTAGTAATTCAATGAAAAAATATGAAAATAATGTTTGTTGAAATTCTACAAGAAATTTCAGTTGAAAAAACTGTCGTTAATACGAATTTTCAATAGAGTTAAAAAATCATATTAATAAAAATTCAACAGAATTTCTATTAAAATAATTTTTTAATTCAGGGAAGAATTTTGATAATTAGTAATTCAATGAAAAAATATGAAAATAATGTTTGATTGAAATTGCCTCAGTTCTAAAAAAGTCATGACATTTTTTTTGAAATTCTATAAGAAATTTTAATTGAAAAAAACTGTCTGCAATTGGAATTCTCAATAGAGTTAAAAAATCATATTATCAAAAATTCAACAGAATTTCTGAGAGCAAGCGTAGATTTCTTCATCAATTTTTTCATACGTTTGAAGGCTATAATTCTCATGTTTTTGTGGTCAGCTCCAGTTGAGAATTTTTTTGTCGCATAGGGAGGAGAACAACTAGTTTTTTTCAGTCTGTTTAACAGATTTATCACCTGAAAATGGATTTTCGAATGCATGCTTCCTGCCATACGCCAGGCTTTCTCCCCAGGTCATCGGGTTCTCCCCACTCTCAGTTACATTCATATAAATCGGTTTGGCCGGTGATTCAAGGCCAACTTTCCATGCCAACGCGATTATAGCATTGACAGCGATGTCGCAGGGGATGGCATCAAGAATGAAATTCCCATCGCAGAGGACACTTCGCACGACCCCCTTAGCTGCCCCAATCATGAGGCCGGTTGGGCCGTTCATGTTCTCCACCCAACCAGGCGCTGGTTCCTTCCAAGAAGCTACAACTGTGGACAAATTACTCATTTTTTAAATTTATTCCTTACTTTGGATGAGACAGGAAGGGAACTGGGATTATTCTCAATATGAATAACCAGAAAATTTTTACTGAAAAAAATGGGTAGTCCAGACCGGAATTTGAACCCGGAGACCTTCTCGTATTTTATGGTATTATACGCCTCAGCCATCATCCTTCCATAATTTTATATATTGATATAATTTTAAACTCGTGCAAGCACGCATTAAAAAAAATAAAAACGTAGCGAATTCAGCGGAAAATTCTACTGGATTTCTACGGAACTTCTATTAAAAATTCCACTAGTTTCGGCGATTTACAGGATAGTAGGATAAAAGTCTACTCATTTTTTTAATACAATGTTCTCCATCGAAAGTTTCTATTCAAAAAACGCGGAGAATACCTGCGGAATTCTTTAAACATAATTTTCACTTGTTCTATCAATTTTTTTCGTACCTAGACATATCCCAAACAATAATTTCAACTAATATATTTGGACTTGAAATGCTCATAATAGTGACAATAATTTGTCTCGAAAACTAATAATTGTTGCAGAAAATTTTTTCATTTAATAAAATAACGAAAAACTAAGAAGTTCCAGTGATCATGATGTCACATTGCGGACGTTTTCAATTCCCCGAGTTTATATACTTTTATTATTTATTGAAATAAAAAAATACGCCTCTAATATTTTCTCATCTAATTTTAAGAAACGAATAAATAAAAAATTTAATGTAAAACTCAAATTCCAGGGGTCAAAGAAATTAAAATAAAGTTAACGTCAAAAGTCTTCATCGTCAGAATCATTAATCTTCTAAATATCTAATAATCTTGTAATTGATTTCCTGCGCTTCGAAGATTTTCCCCTGAATTATTCAACTCGAAGCCCCCACCCACATCCCCGTAAATAGCCGTTCGATCAGTATTGAGCAGGTGTAATTGAATTATGTGATGACTGACCAATCGATGGCCTGGCAACGCCGGCCGGCAAGTTAGACCTGTTGATCAGGTCCTCTGCGAGAGCTTTGCTGAAGGCATAAGTGTTTGGCATGTCCTTGAGCAATTTCGGAGTCATTATATTCAGGAGATCATTGTCCAGAATCTCCACGAGACTTATCACCTGCTCGGGGACCATTGGACTGGGGTAGGCACGATCCTCGAGGATCTTCTCGCCGCAGTGGGTGTAAGCCGTTGACAAATAGATCAGCGACTGCAGGTTTTGCATCTGGAAGGGGAATCCACTTTTAAAAAATCCAGTGTAACGATTTTTGAAGCCTCTATTCCAATTAGCCAATAATGCAATGTATATGTCGATGTATAGTTTTTTATGTTTTGCAATCTTTCGTTTACGGTAATTGTGAAAAAAGAAAAATTAATTTTTTTCTGAAATAAAAAAATACATATATTTTTTTTTATACTTTAATTTTTTTAGCTGTAAAAAAATTAATATAGTTCTGTAAAAAAATAATATATAAGATAGTATTTATGTATATTGTACATAATACATGCCTAAAAATAGAGAAGAGCGCAAACAGCAAAAAAGAAACGAAGAAGAGAATTATGACGATTCCGAATAATTATTCAACAATTAAATTTTCATTGTGAAACACTTTCTTGAAATTAAATTCATTCATTCTGTTTCCTGCATTATTATTGAGATAAAAATTAATGAAAGTGAGAAACGATAAGGTTTTACTATTCTGGCACCCATGGAAAGCAACACATGCGCGAAGCGCGCGCCGTTCTAGTTTTGAATAAGAAATGTCATTTTTATGAGCGAGTCGGTTATGCATGTCCAGAGAAATGAAGTGTTTGGGTCGGATGAGACACTTTATTTGAAGTTTTTTATGCTCATTCTCACAATATTTCGAAATGTTTTAATGCTCTGAAATAAATTATTCGTTCATTCTAAATAATGGATTATCAAATGTTGATAACTGCATTCTTTTCATAATTTCCTTTTCAACTAATCATGTCTTTATTCAGATCATAAACAGTCGTCTTTTATTTAAAAAACCATATTTATTCGATGCGAATAAAAATGACAATAAAACCAAAATTTAAAAAATACAGTTTTTTCTCTGAGCCATTTTCTGAGTGCGTTTCATTAATTCAGGGGAATCCCAGATGTTTGACATATCACGCTTCGATCGATCTCGAGAAGAACAAAGGCACATGATTCGTAGGAAAGAATATTATTATTTCCTTTTACGACCCGATGAAGCTATTCACATCAAACACATTTGTTTTTTATTTGATGAAAATAAAAATAAAGTTTTTTGTCTCAGTAAAACCCATTTATTTAATCGAAATGAATCGCTTTACGACTGCATCGTTCATTAATTCAGGGGAATCCCAGGCGTTTGTCCGATCTCAAGTAGAACAAAGGCACATGAACAACAGGAAAGAGTACTTTTTCTTTCGTTTTATCGTGCGATGAAGGACGGTACCTGTCGGGCATTCTCGCCGAACGTGTTCTGCAATCACTCAGCATCTCCGCAATTTTGGCATGAGGAAAAACACTACTCGCTATGTTTATATATATATAGATATATATGCTCGTAAATATTTTTTCATCGTGACGAAATGACGCAGAGAGATAATTGGTCGTTAAGCGTGGTTTCAGCGATAAAATTTGTTTTCGAAAATTTTATGCATCGGAATTTTTTTCTGCATGACTTTCACGCCGATGTAGTTATGGTTGCTACTGAAAGTGGATGAGTGCTACGTAAAAAGTGGCTTTTCGGCACGAGGTGAACCTAACAACAATGAAAAAAAAAAATATTTCGACGCATGTGCAACCGGGATTTTTCAGCTCATGCGGTTGGCAGCCCTCTCCTTCGTCTCGGGCCTCCAACTTCACACTCGTGAAAATCCCATCGCATTTGTATCGAAATATACCATATTAATTCATCAATTGAGAGGAAATTTTGAGTCACAACGCAATTGCATTGAAATTCAATGAAAAATTTCAACAAATGTTTCTCATTAATATTCATTAGACGAACTTCAGTTGCGCTACTTTCTAATGAATTTTACCTGTCGGAGATTTATTTCACTATATTAAAATGTTAAAATGTTGAAATGTTGAAATGTTAAAATGTTAAAATGTTAAAATGTTAAAATGTTAAAATGTTAATGTTTTCCTTTAATCATCAAAAAATGGTCAAAAGCCTAACACTCTTGAGAATGAAATAAGAATGGAGTAAAATTTACCTGTTTGCATAGTGTAATGAGATTCCTAACTCCCGCAGTATTCATTCCGATAGCGTCCTTCAATGGCACATCGAATTTAACATTAGCAGCGCTATGGAAGACGACTGATACGTCACGTATCAACAGCTCCCTATTCTCCACCGAGAGACTGAGATTCTCCACCGTGACATCCCCCGGTATCACTGCTAATTTCTTCAACCTCTCTGGATGATTCGCCCGGAGGTCTTTGAACGGCTCTTGCTGCGGATGGTGACAATGAATAATAAATCACCGATAAAAATCAAAAAACCTCTGACTCATCACCTGAAAAGCTAGACTGCGTCATAAAATTGGCTCGTGTTGGAAGTCTAGTGTTTGGAGTTTATTTGCATTTCATTAAAAATGTTAAGTCACGATGAAATATTCAAACCAAAATTCCCGAGTGGGGATTAACCTCAGGATATTTACATTTAGCGGGGAATCGGACGCGGATTTTTTATGGACACGAGGGCAATCGAGTAACAAGTGACCGCAAATACAAAGTTACAACATTCTAACTCTTGGTTGGACTATTGCATTGTTGGACTATTAACTGACTTATTAGTAATTTACTAAATTACTAAATTACCTGACTTAATTTAGTAATGTTATGAGAAGTTGCCCCTTACAAAAATCAACATTTACTTATCCTCATTAAAATTTGAAAATGAATATAACAATTGGTAATTTAAATTTTTCAATTGACTATTAACTCAATAATTGACAATATGGAATTGTCAATTGACTATTGAGTAAATATTTCTAAATTTCATTAAAGGATTTTTTGATTAGCCAAATGATCGTTAATCGTCCGAACTCAATTATTGATTGATAAAATAATTCACAATTTGCGTATTTAATTGATGATCAATTTAAGAATTAAAAAATTGATGAGTAATATTAACAATTGACTCATTCGAAATTTAACTTTAATTAAAATTTATGATTATCCCGATTTCTTCCAAAATTGATGGAAAAATCTAGTGCATTAACGGTGAAGTTTAGTTTCCGGTGAACTGGGAAATTTTCATCACATTATTGAAGCATCAAGGAAGTTGGTCATTTAAAATTCAAAATTTTATCAAATAATCAATGGAAACTGCAAACTTCAGGTCAATTATTCTACGAATAATTGAACTGGCGTTTACATATTCATAGAAATCATAAAAATTGGGGTAAAGCTAGTCTTTAATTTCCAATCTATTAGAAATTTATCGTAATGTGGTACTGAATTGTTATGACGGATGAAAAAATTCAATAGAAAATATTCTATAGAAAAAGTCACAAGAATTCGGGTTTTCTATACAACTTATTCTATTGAGATATTTTCAATAGAATTTCCTCGGCTCAAATGTTCCAAGTTTTTGTTTGATTTTCTTGATGAGAAGAAACGAAAAATAGATCGAAAAAAAATCATAAAATTTGAGCCGAGAAAATTCTGAAGAAAATCTCTGTTTAGACAATAAGTTATACAGAAAAATCGAGTTCTCCTGACTTCGTCTATTGAACATTTCAGTAGAATCGGTCAAAAACTAATAGAAATTCAATCGAAAGCCAATAGAATTTTCCGACGAATTCGCTGTTTGTTTTTCCATTAAATTTTTTCGGGCGTGTCCGGAGAATAGGCTCCTAAAAAAAAAATTCTTCTCCCAAGAAAATAATTTTATCTCTCAAAGCAATCAGTAATCACTTTAAGGCAGTTTACCGTCACCTATTCATGTTTTCAATTCAAAAATACCAATTACTGATTACATTAAGCATTCAATTAATCAATTGAACGTAACACATTGTGCATTAACAATTTCCGTAATATCGCGAAGAGTACTGACAACTGCCCCCCCTGATCGATATTTTTCAATGAATCATCTATCGCGAAACGCACTACAAAGTTGCAGACGTTATTTTCAGTAGAAAAAGCCGCAAAAAAATAAAGAACTCCAATTGTTTGCGTACGTATAATGCACCCGTCATGATTATCAGTTATTAGAAATTCAAGGATTGATTGGCCTTGCGATCACTAAATAAAACATATTTAATTGATTGGTGCATCATTTTTAATTGATGTTTTCTTTATTGACCGCGAGGCCAATCAATTCTTGAATTTCTAATCCTGATCATCATGATAGGTGCATTATACTACTACTATTACTGATTTTACAACGGTCGATAACATAATACCTTTACATTATCAGTTATTACAATTAATTTCAAAATAATCAGAAATCGTACGTAAGAATGGAAATTAAAAATTCAAATGTAGACAGGTAGCTCAATCAATTTTCGGAAGCGTGATGGAGGGTAATTGGATTTCTCGAGATACATGCGGTTTTCCCCTGAATAATTCTAATGGTAATGACGTCTAATTGGTCAGCACTTTCGGTTGATATCTCACGGCCGAATGTCTGGGTAACAAGTTTCGACAAAATCGTGTATTTTTTCGTACCATCCGTCACCTTGAGAGGTGGCACGGTCAATGGGGGCTACGGTGAAAGAATTTCAAGGTGATTTTTTCGAATATCAAAGAGCGAATTATGGGGAGGGGATTTTAATTCAGGAGTTTCAAAATTTGAAACGTCCTGCGGTAGTCGATGACCTCAAACTTGGGGATAATTATCGGTTCTGGTAGGCTCGACACGTTTGGAGACATCTCCATGTGACGCTTTGGGGAATCACGTGTGAAAAAATATTGCTGAAAAAACGTAGCGCATTCGCTAGAAAATTCTATTGGATTTCTATTCAATGGAAAATATTTTATACAAAAAGTTGAAAGAATTCGATTTTTTGAGACAAGTTATTCTATTGAGGTATTTTCTGTAGAATTTCCTCGGCTGGAATTTTTCAAGTTTTTTTCTTTGGGATAAAGAATTTGAAAAATTTAGAAAGTTTGAGCAGGGGAAGTTCTATAAAAAATATCTGAATGGAGCAAGAAATATTTAATATTTCAAAAAATGTTCAATATTTTTTATTGAACATTTCAATAAAATCAGCCAAAAACTAATAGAAGGTGCAATAGAAATCGAATAGATTTTTCTAGTGAATTCACTAGGTTTTTCTATTAAATTTTATCGTGTGATTTCACGCGCGAAAAAAAAATCATAGAAAGACCTAGTGAATTCGATAGAATATTCTATTTTGAAATTTCTTCTCTTGGAGAATTCCGCAGCTTCAGTGCGCGTTTTTAATAGAAAATATCCAATAGAAATTATTTTATAGAAATAGAGGAATTTCATTCTTCTATACATCTTTTTCTATTGAGACATTTCCTATAGAAATGAGGCGACATGAATTTCCCAAGTTTTTTTCACTGAATTGTTGTCTCGTTTTATTTGTAAAATCTAACAACAAAAGTTGGAAAATTTTAGCCGAGGACTTTCTACAGAAAATATCTGAATGGAATGAGTTGTATAGAAAAATCAGACTCTTGAAGAAACGAAGTCTTGCATAAAATTTGTTTATTCAATAACACAATTGGATTTAAAATATTTGATGGATGTCTCTCTTTAATTTGAAGTCATAAAAAATAAGAAGATTTGAACTGATTCGACAAGTGTCTGCGTTATAAAACAATGTTAATTTATCAATTTTTCATTATTTGTTGAAATAAAAAAATACATGTCGAAAAATTTTTGGTCCAATTTTGACAAGAGAAAGCTTAATGAAATTGAGTAGTTTATTAAAGTTTTATTGGTCTTTGGTGAAAGCAATCAATGAACGTCGACTCCCGAAAAATTCGAAAAATCAAAAGACTGTTGCATGAATCTAACTTGAATTAGTTGACAGGTAGTGTCTGAAGGACAATTTTAGAACGACACAATCAAGTTTTGTTTCACTATCCATTCATTTCCAAAACTTAAATATTCTGAATGAGAGAATAAGAGAGTTTTAAGGGATGTTACGTCACAGCTCTTACGAAAATCTAAAAAGCGAATGGTTAGAAATGCAATAGAATTATTGACTTCTAATGCAGGATTCGATAGAAGTCCTCAGAGAAAACAAAAATTTTCCCAATAATGGTTCCATTTAGCTTTTTTAGATGAATTTCAATTGAATAAACATTATGCAAATCAAATGAATGGGTTTATCCAACTAGCTTGTAATAAATATTTCATTCAATCTCAAACTTGATTTTTATTTGTGTCTTTATAGGCATTAAATTAATATTTTGAAAAAATATAAACAGCGTTTCCCTTGATTCAAATGCAGATTTAATTGACTGGAAATTAAATTATTGTTCAGACAGCGAAGAAAGATAATTTGTTCTCATCTAATAATCATTTCAATGAATGAATGAATTATTTATCTCATATAATTGAAACATTTTCAGTGAAATAAATATGTAAATTTATTAATCCCCATCAGAATATTATTGGGATCAACAGAAAAAATTCAAATAGTGTTTAATTTGAAAAAAAGCAAAAATTTAAATTTGACCGGAAAATTAAAAACGTAAGTTTTCGAATAGGTAATCAATTTCATCGCTGGTACTGTCCCACGTGTTCCCTCCTTTCCATTGATGATTCCAACATTCTAATGAGAGACTTTATCGCTTAGAAACGGAATCGTTGTTTAGACGACAAAAAGAATTTATTCTCATCTAATAATCTTTTATATGAATAATTGATTATTTATTTCATACGATTGAAATATTTCCATCGAAATAAATACATAAATTTATTAATCTCCACCAGAATATTTTTGAGATTAATAGAAAAATTTCAAATAAAGTTTTACTTAATTTAAACGCGCCATTTTTTCGGGAGCAAATAAAGTAAATAAAAAACGTAATTTTTCAGATTGGAAATAAATTTTATCGCAGACACTGTCCCACTTGTTCCCTCCGCTCCATTGATAATTCTAACATTCCAATGGGCGCGGAACTTTCTTTTTTTCCAACTGGCCATTTCAAAATTTTGAGAACGAGAAAAAACATAGAAGAACTCACCTGCACGAGTGAGGAGAGTCTACTCTGTGGATCGACGCCTTTCTTCTCCCGCACAAGAAGATAAACCTTTCCCACATCCGGACAGCTCATTAATAATTTCGACAACAGAACTTTTCCCATAAATCCAGTTGCCCCGGTAATGAGAACACATCGATTCCGAAACCACTCGGGTATTGTTGGTATTACCTCGTGTGCAGGAGCGTTATTTATTGACGTTGTGTCTTTCCCTGTGCGTCGGAAAATTAATAAGAATAAGAATGTTAATGGTAATTTTGCTCTTGATTTCGATAGCGATGGGTCACTTCGATCGCCCGTGACAATAATATTAATTCAGGTTCACTAATAGTGATGAGAAATGAAAATAAAGTGAATCGTCCAGTGTTTGGAGCCTCCAAAGTTCACAGTTTCTGAACTTTTAAAAATTTAGGCTGCAATTTCCGGTATATTTTTAGGAAATTTTTACACCGAATTTTCGAGGATTTCCGTCACTGGAAATTTCAAATTTCATTTAAAAAATCAATGGCAACTGGAATTTTCAGTGAAATTATTCCCCGAAAATTGCAAGAATTCTGAAAAATTCTGGATAATTTAATCCTGAATATTCATGTTTTAATTGAAATGTCAATGAATTTCGTTATTTAATTCATAGCTGGAAGAAAAAATCAATGAAGTCTGAAAATTTCAATTGATTTGAATTATTTAAAAGTAAATCTTTAATTCGTGATATTTTTCTTCTTAAATAATCAAATAAGATATTCAACTTATTGACACACTATTTAATTTGACAAATGTCTGAAATTTCAATCAATTTTGCCATTGAAAATTCAAAATTGCATGAAAATCAATGGAAACCTGCAAGTTCACTTCAATAATTCAATGAAGATTCAAAAAAGCTAGGGGAAATGTCTCATTTACTGCTGAATATCATCATCGTCATCACCCTCCTAAAAAATACTAGTCAATTGTCCAGAGCATTTCAATTTTATACTCCCACTGCGCTTGACGTCCTCATCTTTCAATAAATCTTCAATTCGTGATATTATTCTTCTTTAATAAAAAATTCAACTCATTATCACCATCATTTACTTCAAAAAAAGCAATTACCATTAACACCAACAATAAAATAAATAAATTACCCTGCAACTCTGGCAAGAGCTCTTGCGTGGACTTCATAGCGCTCGTCAATCTTTCCGAAGAAGAGACACAGACCGATGAATGAAGCAGAAGAAACGAGAAAAATAATTCGATGTTAATCCAACCGATTAAATCTTCTATCCGATCGATCAAATTCAATAATCATTAAGACGTCTCATGAAACACTTGCGCAAGTTCAATAAAATAAATGCCAATAAAGCCGTAAAATAGCTCTCACGAAGCCAACCTGAAGGCAGATAAAAACCCAAATGTCCCAATCCCTCGAGATCAAATCAATGAATTTCTTCACGTCCCAACGCGTCGATAGCTGGTGAAAAAAAAAACGTGCGTTTAGATCGCTCAGACAAGGCGGATGGTTGCCGAAGAACTGATTGACGAGTGACTGTGCGTTCACCGTGAGGCAGAAAGGTTCACGAACGTCTCGTTCCTTCCTCCACCAGTGGAAATCCCCACGATTTTGATAGGAAATTAATCTCCTTCTTCTTCTTCAACTGTCAGTGCACGAGCAAAATGCCTTGGGAAGGGTGCAGGAAGCTAATGACTTATCGAGAAACGTTTTCCATCATTTATTCAGATGAATTACAGATGAAACGACTACCTGCGTATCACCAGGGTAAAGAGATGAGAAATGCCGGTGGGATTTAACGCCAAGGACACGTGGGGTAACAAAGAACTGCTCGTACCATGGTACCGTTTTATTATTTTTTTAATCACCAGTAATTTCACAAAATGGGATTTCTGGTTTTAAACAATGAATACTCATTGAGGATACTGATAATACAAAATACTTTCTGGAATTACAGACGAATGAAATGGACTGAGGGGTTACAAAAGTTGTGGGTAAACTTACTTTCAGGGTTGGGTAACAAATACTGTGAGACGTATGAAAAAATTTAATTGGTGAAGCTTAGTGCTTCTATTCAAATATTATTTTTGCGAAAATTTTATTGAAAATTATGAAACTCTGCCATGATTTCGACAATTGATGGTTTTTCGTGTTGATTGTTTTAGAAGAATTCTTGGGCATGAATTTTCTGAGCTTCTTGCTTCGATTTTCATGACACAGTTGCATAATCTATAGAATTTTCGCAAATAATTAATGCAATTTTTTAAGTGAGTTTTAACAAAACTCCAATTGAATAAAAATAGTATTGAATTCTAAAATTCTATTAAAAATGAGTTTCAAGAGACATTTTTACGTAGAATAAAGTCTATAGATGTTGATTTTTCTATAAGAATTCTTAATCGTGATTTTTTTAGTTTTTTTCTCTTGGATTTCATTATAAAAAAAGAATGACAATGCAAGGAAAAAAATTCTCCCATAAAAAAATGAAAAACTCTTGACTATTGCAACAACGCAAACGAATTATTTAATAGAATTTTATTATAACTGCAATAGAATTCCTCGGAGAAAGTGCTTGAGTTTTCTATTAAATTTTTTCATACGCGGATAATCATGAAATTGCACAATGTCGAATGCCAAGTCAATCATAATCGGTGATCCTATCCCTGGTATGTTATTTACCCAGTATGGTTCCCCCCGGCTGCGTGCGAAATTGCCCAATATTTATGTTGTCACGAGACAATAAGGCATGGCTCAATAAACCTGTGCTGACCTGTGAAATTCGACTAAGCTAAACCCCACGGCTGAATGATTTCGTATAAAATACTTTGCCCAGATGGCCGTCCCCCGATAACAAATATATTAGATTTTTTGTATGCGAAAGATTAGTCGATTAGAGCTGACTGAAGAGGAGGTAGGCTATGGGGACGATCATGCCTGTTGACGTCCAGGTGGCACCCAGGATCGACTTGAATATCCACCAGACGAGACCCAGCAGGGCTGCCTGGAGACCCAGGTGAACAGCAAGTAGTCTGGAATCAATAGAAGACATTTATTATGAAATAGTTTTGTTTTATAATGATTTCCTCATAATGAGATTTTTTTCGCAATGAAACACGCGTAGAAAAATTCAATGGATTTTGATTTTTCTATGAAAATTCTTGGACATAAATTTAAAATTTTTTCTACTTAATTTTTATTTAATTCTTATTATGAAATTCAAGCAAAAAAAATTACAGAAAAAATCTCAGCAGATGGATTTATATAGAAAAATCAACATAAATTAATTTTTTCTGTAAGAAGTTATTCATTTTTTCAATTCTACAGAATGTCTATTGGAATTCTATGAGAATTCTATTGATGTCAGTTTCTCTGAAAAGACTCCCGACTTTTCAGAGAAACTAACATCTCAAATTAATACATAGTATCATTATCATCGACTAATTGGGTGCACTGACACTGAATTCATCAAGAAAATTCCCCAAAACCATTGAGAACTCACATGTTATCCTTTGCTCGCGCTCTTCCAAGACTTTTGAGAGGCTCTTTACTGAGATACACTCTGACCCCCTTCGTCAAATTCACGAAGTAATCCTCCCACGACAATGGCCTCACGTCGAGTGTGAATAGCTTCTTATCCTCGCTGGATAACGACTCGTGCAACTCCATCATTCTGGGATTCTGGAACTTCCATTCTGTGAAGATAAACTTCTCCAAACGACCCAGAGAGTTGTTGACGTTCGTGTGCAGCCGAACAAGTCTATTAAAACAATTGTGAGATTAATAGTCAGTATCATAGTCATTATCATAAACTGATCAATAGTAAAATTTCTGATATTTTGCTAAATATCCATAACCCAGAATTTCCTGGAGCACAAGAATGATCTCATTTCATTAACAATTTATGTTACAGGAAAAAGAGTTATAGTAAATGGATCATTTTAAATGATCAATAATTATTTTTTCCCATTCTCCTTCGCATGGGTTTTACCTGAATTTTTTTTATTGCTAAAGATGACGATTGGGCGAAAAATATTGAATTTATTTATTTTTATGTTGCCTGAATAGTTTATGAGCAATTGGAAACGTCTGCGTTGTAAAGTCTTGATTTTTCATGTTTTAAAAAATAAAAAAATTCGAATCTAATATTTCTCAACCGGTTTTCCTACTTCATCACTTTCTTCAATAAATAATTTTCAACTCCAATAAGATTTGATTCACTCTCTTACCAATTTTTCCAAAATACTAATAAAAAATACTAAAAGAAAAAGAATGAGACTAATATTGTGAATAACAAATATAAATAATATACTCAAAAAATAATAGTAATAAATAATAAACAATGGAATTAATAACAAACAAAATACTAAATGAGACCAAAATTACAACAATGTAAACAACTCATAAGATTCATTCATAATAATTATGTTATATTTTCGTTTTCCCTTAGGACATTTTTGTATCCCAGGAAAATAATAAATTGCTTCTAATCTAATCCAATAATAATCCAAGGAACTACATACATGGGACGTCCTCCAGCGACTTTAGTGACTGTATCCAGAATATAAGCCGGGATCATGTGCACAAAAATGGAAGAGATTCGATAGAGCCACAGCGATGGCAGCAGTTTGAGATGTGGATACCAGACAGCGCTGACCAAAGGATACTTATGAAGATATCCGTTTATTTTGGACTCCACCTTCAGCCACTGGAATGGATTGCATGTGCTCGAGGTGCAGTGGTAGACCTTTATCCCTGTGTTCCTGAGTGAAAGATAATGTTTCGTGTTAAATTACCCACGATATCAAGGTGCAATTGGAGAAGTACAATTGATGTTCACCTGTCACGACCAATGACGTAGGCAGCAACGAGGAGAGCATTGACAACAATGTCCACTGGGATGTAATCGTAGATGAGTTGACTTGCAACTGGCAGTCTGCGAACTACTCCCTTGCTGGCGCCCATCAGGAAGCCCTGGGGGCCATTCTTGGAGGTTGTCCATCCTGGAATTGGCTCCTGCCATGCACCAGTGACTGGAAATAATATTTGCGTGACGTTTCTTTTCTAAATTTCAATCTCATTTAGGTTGGAATAAATTAACTCTGGAGAGGCTCAGAATTTAAGAATAATAATAATAATAATAGATAAATGAATAAATATTCATCGAGTAGTCGATGCACTAGTCGGTAATTACTCCTTAAGGGAGTTTAAAAAAAATGGTTTCATTAAATCAAAAGTGAAAATTAATTTAAGGTTTTGTTGTCAACACAAAAACATTTGATTTTTTTTTAAATTTGACGGTGCATTGAATCACATAGTTCCAAAAATTTGGGATTTTATTAGAATTGTATTGAATTGCCGTTGATTGAAAATTATGCAACGCTGAAGTTTGATTTTTTTAAAGTTTTTGTTACGTAAGGAAGTAAATAGTTTTATTGAATGAATTATATGCTTGAGATTTTTTCTATAGAAATTGATGACGTGTATTATTTGAGGTGTTTTTGATGCATTTTTGGTTTTCCCCTCAAATATCTGGTGAAAAATTTATTATTTATATAGAATTATATGGAATTTCTTTGGAAAAGCTCAAGAAATTTCTATAAAATCCTCCAATGCGTGAATCAATTAAATAGAAAGATTACTTTTGAAGGAAGATTGATGAAATAATTTGATAATTACAAATTTAGGAAATTACGAACATTACTTCCAAATAATTTATAAACAATGAATTTTCCCAGAAATCGATTTCATGCCTAAAAAAATTAGTTTTACTAAAGTTTAAACAATTTCAAATATTGATTGATAAAGGAATGTTTAAAAAATAACAATTCTGTGCAGAACCGCCTTCGAATGACGCTGAATATTCATGATTTTTTCCAATTTTCCTCGCGCAATTTAGTTAACAAATTTGATCATTGAAAATAGTTGAGTCCACAGTGTGGCAAACTGTAAAACTACTTGGATATCGTTAAAGGCTGAGCTAATTCATCACCTCGATTTAGCCTCCCCTATCCCTAGAAAACCTACTCATAGACGGTCTCACGATGGCCGCAGGGATGGACCCATTGACGACCTCATGCTCAGCCAGATGTTTCGAAAAGGTATAAGCATTCGGGTGATTCTTCAGCAGCTGTGGGGTCGCCTCCTCAATCGCCTTCTCGTCCTTCCCCCCGACCAGCGCAAGGACTTCGTCCACATCAGCTGGTGGTGGATAAATCTGCTCCTTAGTCTCGAGGAGAAACGAGTTCACATAGGCACTCGACACGTGCACCAGGGCCTGCGAATAATTACGTCAATCATAAAACTTCAATCAGCGCGAAAGAACGAGACAATGAGGATAATACAAATGAATGGCTAATGAAGCCTCGCTCACCTTGAGATTTCTTATTTCCTGGGCAAGCTGAACGACTCTTCGTGTACCGAGAAGATTAATGTCAACTGCGGGCTTCAAGCCCGCTTCAAAGTCCAGAGTGGCTGCTGAATGGAATATCACCTCGACGTGTTCGACAATTGTCAGTCTCTCCTCGGAGGACAGACCCAAATTTTCCTCACCCACGTCACCACTGACTGCTATCAATTTCGAGAACAAGTCAGTCTTCCCTTCCTCCCGCAGACGATCAAACACCTGAGGCAGCAATCGTAAACAATTATTATCAATTATTGTAATGAGGAAGTGTTTTGTTAATTACAAAATTACGAGATATTACTCAATCGTCAATAAGTTGAGATCGGTTGAGTGAAATTCAAGTTTTCGTTGCATTTTGAAGGCATTTTTTCGGAGTTTGACATGAGAGGGGACTCATTCAAATGATTCAGATTAGCAGATTAAATTTATGGTTAACGGTAGCTGGGGGTAAAGTGGGAATAGTTCTGACTGGTTTATTCATTTAGTTTTCTAATAAAGTCTCGTCTAATAAATTTCGTTCAATTTTTGCATTTTTTTATCCATTATTTTCTGTAAAAAAATTTCTTATTTGACAGTTGATGATTATAATAATAAAGATTTATAATGAGAAACGTTATTTATGTATAAGGATTGAATTTCTTCAAATGATACAGTTCAGCAAATTAAATTTATAATTAACGGTAGTTGGGAATAAAGTGAGGATGGTTCTGTCTGGTTTTTATTTTTCCAAAAAAATCGAAGATATTTAGACAACTCATCATTAAATTGAGTTGAAGAGGAATTTCATCCAATTTTTCTAATTTTTTATCCATTATTTACCGTAAAAAAATTCTTATCTGACATTGATGATTATAACAACGAAGATTTTAGTGGAAAAAATGTGTTATGTAAAAGACAAGATGGAAAGTCATGAATAATTCTTTCTTTTTCTCTCAAATTCAAAGCTATTCTAAAAAAACTCAATTTGACACCATCAATTGTATAAAATCCCAACTCCAAATTAAATTATTTTAATTCAATCAACGAATTGACTATGCAATATCAGAAAATTGGGATTGCAAAATGACAAAACCTACTAAAGATTCTCGTCTCCCCTAAAATTCACTGATATTCAAGAAGCAAACCCTCCAAATTAATTTCAATCGATTAAAAAATAACTAAATTCTAAATAACTCAGTGAAATTTCCCCTTTTTTCCCTTCAAATCTATTTCCTCCTGCTTCGAAATAAACTCTGACTAATTCAACTCCACCACCAGCTCAGGAGATATTCATGATTGAATAAATTCAGCACTGAAACGGTAAAACGAATCAACTCAGCTCAAGCTCAGTTTTCGAGGAATATCTCCGAATCTACGGGAGATATCGAAATTTTTGTAATCACCTTTTCTGTAGCTCTCAATTCGCCCTACAAAAAAGGTCATAACAAAAATTGTGCTATCTCGCTCAGATTTCGAGATATCCATTGAAAACCGACCAACAGTCAACATCGATTCAAAATTCATGTACATCATGACGAATGAAATGAAATCATAACCTGAAACGACTGTCCTGCTCAATTAACCGAATACAACGTCTAATTACCGAGTTTTTCGTGAGCTCCTCGAGACGTTCGCTGATTTCCTTCCCCTTCTTCGGTCTTATCAACAGATAAATGTTCTTGACGTCTGGACAGCACCTCAAAAGCTTCTCGATCAAGCAACTGCCCAGGAAGCCGGTACCACCGGTGATGAAGACGCATTTCCCGCGATAATATTCGACAACTCGCGATGCCATTGCCCCGTGCAACGACTAATTGGCTTTTTCCAATTAGTTGGGAGTGATTTTTCGGTTGAGCTTGTTCTCAATGAGCCAGGGGCCACGATAAGGGAGGATTCTGTGACTGAGGGACTAGGAATGATCGAGGGAACATGCAACACAACACAGAACAGAACACGACGGCAAAGTCACTGGAACTAACACATCTGAGGGGCTCCAACGTGGTTATACTGTCGGCCTACATGCTGCTGAGCGCAGCTAGGCGATAGGAGTGGCGATCAAAGAGAGAGGGAGGAGGATCTCGGGGGGAATTTCCGTCGGTCAGACGGAGATGAAGGCAGGGTCGGCGGTCCGCTAGACCGCCAGTGGTTCTCATGGTGACGGAATGATTATTTTGAATCTGAATTTTAGATTTTGTTTGAGGACTTTTTTCTAGAAGTTTTAATTACTGAGGGGGGGGGAGTTTGGGAAAGTCGGCGGGGAAGATGAGACGGTTGGATTTTTTTCTAGTCGCATGGGCGACGCGGTCATTAGCGAGTATTCAGTAAAGAAAGAACGGAGAAATCATAGTATGAAGAAATTTAAGTGAAGAAGGTAAACATAGTTTAATAAATGTGATCCCAATTTTTCGTTCTGTGAAAATTCATCGGGAGAAATTTTTGGCGAGGAAATGGTGGGGAAAAACTGATTTTTAGAATTTTTTTAACTTTGAGATTGTTTAATACACGTGAATCATTAATTACATTAATTATTCATGAAATATTAATTAATTATTCAATTGAATAATTCATTAAGTGAATTATTCAATTGGATGAAATAAAAAAGTAAATGGATACATATTCAATCAATTTTTTTTTAGTTGAGTTTGTTTTTATTTATTTATTTTTTCGATTTATATTTGATTTTTTCAATTTGGTTAGAATTTTTGTTGACATCTTTTGATAATTTCTTTCACTACACAAAAAATTCATGAGGAGAATTTTTTGACGGCGAAATATTGAGGGAAAACTTAGTTTTAGATTATTTTATCTTTGAAATTGGTTAATTCACTTGAATAATTAATTTAATTATTCAATTAAATAAAATGAGAAACTGGATAGATAAATCTTCGGAAAAAATTTTATTTTGTTGAGTTGTTGCATTTTTTATGTCGATCGCATTGCCAAAATTGTTTAATCGAGCAGTTGATCATTATAATTATTACGATTTGCAATTAATATTATTTTTTATTCACGAAAAATCATCGAAAGTAATGAAGAAAACATCAATTTCATTTTCGATTTCAATTTCCATTATAATTCTTTTCTCAGTGTAAAAAACCTCTTACAGAGGTGTTGAAAATCATCAAAAACCACGAATAACACATGAATAATTATTTCTATTTCCCTTTACTTAAAATTCAATATCCTAAACAAACTCCTCTCCCAGTGGAGTTCTCAAGGAATCATTCAACCATTCAATACCTCAAAGTTCTTCATTTTCCCCTCAATGCAAAAACGTTTCATCTTCAGTATTTCCAGCAAGAAAGATTTTTTATTCGTAAAAAAATACACAAAAAATACAAATAAACCCCAAGTCAAACTAAATTCTCTTACAATTCCCCCCCTGTTCCGCATTCACCGAAGGTCGAGGGAAAAATCAGATCGCATGAAGTCGTCCATAAAATAAAAATTAGAGCGTTAAATTTTTGACGTCCACACAGCCACTGCCGTCGTTAATTCCTAAACAATTATAACCAAATGAAGAAAAGAACGATTGCTGCACTGAAAATCGCGGCAACAATCCACGAAGCTCCAAACGTAAACATGATGTATGTACAGAGTGCGAAGGTGAGAAACGGCGTCAATTCCGCAATAATTTTCAGCCTGCAAAAAAAAATGAACGAGTGACGAAAAAATTACGAAGTAATTTTCCGCGGAGACTATCTGCACTGTAATTACGCTCGTGCAACGCGGACATTGAATTCTCAATCTCTCGACTTTAAACGTGAAAAATAGTGGAAGCAACCACAACTTTCTACGGGAACATTCACCCTGAGATCAGCAGCCTCTCTCTTCCTCTCACTATTGAATCCCCGCGTGATATTGAAAATTTACCGTTTCATCTGCCTTCGTGCGCGATCTGTTGTTGCAGCAGGCTCTTTATGAAAATATCTCCGAGTACCGAGGACACATAATTCGAAGTACTGACTCCAGTTGATGAGTCGTGGGTCCATGGGATGAACAGCTCTTTCGTCGGGTGCAAGTGCGTCCTGGAGGGACTGGATGTTACGACGGTCGAATTTCCACTTGTGGGTGGAGAAGAATGAGGTGTAGGAGTTGCCTTTCAGGTACTTCTGTTGTACCTGGTAAACCCTGGTGAATATCATCAGTTAATATTTGAATTTCATTCATATTTAATATTTCACAGGAAATATCGGCGAATTCGGTAAGAAATTCCATTCGGTTACACTTTTACTTTTGGGAGAAGAATTTATTTTTTAAATTGTCCATCGACACTTGTCAACATTTAAAATTATTCTAAATTATATTACGTGAGGAAATCTTAAATTTGAAAATAATGGCACGCATGAAAAACTTAGCGAATGCGTTAGAAAATTCAATTGAATTTCTATTGAAGTTTCTATTAGTTTTTGGCCGATTCTATTGAAATGTTCAATAGAAAATATTCCATGAAAAAAGTCAATAGAATTCGATTTTTCTACACAACTTATTCTACTCAGGATATTTTCTATAGAAATTTCTGCACTCAATTTTTTTCATTTTTTGCGGTCGATATTTTCGACGAGTTTTTTTTTTATTGAAAAAGTCCTCGATGTTTTTTTCTATGCGTTTTTTTCAATGTAAATAATTTAACAAATAGAATGAAAAAATTTAAATTCAATGAATTCAGAACTTTTTTTTAGTTATCGTGGGACATTCATTAAATTTCAATTAATGTCGATGGACAGAACATTTAAAATTAATCCAAATTATTTTACGTGAGAAAATCTTAAATTTGAAAATAATGGCACGCACGAAAAACTTAGCGAATGCGTTGGAAAATTCTATTGGATTTCTATTGAACTTTCTATTAGTTTTTGGTCGATTCTATTGGAATATTCAATAGAAAATAATCGATAGAAAATGTCAAGAGAATTCGATTTTTCTACATAACTTATTCTACTCAAGATATTTCCTTTAGAATTTTTCTATAAAAATATTGAATTTCATTCTTTTATGCAACTTATTCTACGGAGATATTTTTTATAGAAATTTCTGCACTTAATTTTAAAACAAATTTCGGTCGATCTGTTCAACGAGTTTTTTTATTGAAAAATTCTGCAGCTTTTGATGCGTTTTTTTCAATATAAATGATTTAAAAAATAGAATGAAAAAATTAAAATTTAATGCATTCAGAACTTTATTTTTAGTTATTGTGAGACATTAATTAAATTTTAATTAATATCGATGGACAGAGCATTCCCAAATGCAACAATACCCGCATTTGAACAAAAAAAGCTTAAATTTCCTGGATTCATCAGTGAACAATTGAAATTAATGGAATTAATGGGATATAACGCAAAAAATCTAAAACATTTGTAAGCAAAATGAAAAAGATCATAAGAATCATTACTTTGCGGTAAAATGCCGAGTCAAAGTCCCTCGGCAAATGATATTCATGTCAGACGTTACGAAATGCATAAACCGGTCAATGTCAGACGAGACGGATTCCGAGAGTAACGGAGGACTCACAAATGTTTTTTCTCAGAGGTCGACAGGCGGAAAATGCAGTCGATGATGAAAGCCGGAAATATCTGGAAAATGTAGATGACTAAAATGTTCCTCAGGTGGTTCTCCCTGGTCCTGGCCTTCGGGTACCACAGGACATTCTCGCAGGGGTGGGCTCGACAGGCCTTCACAACCTCCTCGCAGTATTCGTCCCAGGTCGTTGGGTTTATCGTGTTGGAGGTGCAGTGGAAAATGTGGAGGTTCTGGGGTTCTTGTTGGGCTCTTGCGGAGGCTGCGAGGATTGTCGAGACCACCATGTCCACGGGGATGGCGTCCAGAAGGGTATTCGGGGTTGCCTGGAATCTGAATCATATGACGTATTCATTACTATTGGAACTTTAGGGCAGATGGTTCTCATTGTTACAATAGGAAACTTGAAATTATTTTTTTTTATTTTCTTATCACGGAAAATTAAAAAATATATTATCTAAATAATGAATAGTTTAAATGATTTTCGTCGTCCTTGGCATTTGAACAAGTGATTTTTCATGAACAATGTTCGAAATAAAATAGTTTCTCATTATTTAATAATTCGTTGTCAAAGTTAATTTTTGGGAAAAAATTTTTTTTTAATTCGCAAAAGTTTGAAGGGGCTCATTGATTGATAATTAATCATCAAATTTGTAGACTTAAATTTAATTTTTTTTATAGAAACACGTATTGCGCAGAGAAATTCGCCTATTCCATTAAAAAAATCGGCAATTTTTTTATCAAAATATTCAATAGAAAATATTTCATACGGAAATTCGTCGTTTTAATTTTTGTTCTTCAATTTCCATTAAAAAAAAATAAAATGGAAAAATTGTGTGGTCATTATTTTTATAAACAATTTAAGGCAAAATTCCATTGTTATCAGAAATTCGTCATCTTGAATTTTTTCTTTTAATTCTCATAAAAAAAATAAAATAAAATAAAAAAATTTTCGTCGTCTTCGGCATTTGAATAAGTGTTTTCTTACGAACAATGTTCGACATAAAATATTTTCCCATTAATTAATAATTAGTTGTCAGAAATTCGTTGTCTTAAATTTTTTTCCTGCAATTCTCATAAAAGAAAAAAAAAAGAAAAAAATCATGTTGCAAATTTTTTTTTAAATAAATAATTTTAAGCAAAATTCCATTGTTATCGATAGAGAAAAGAAGAGATCTGTTCAATCGACTGGAATTTAAATTTGAACTGATCTCTTCGATTTTCAACAGATGGATGTTTTTACGAGTTTTGAATTTGCATTCAGAGATTTTAAATGTGCGGAATGTACAGACGTGCGGAATAATCCCTTGCCAATACCAGCGATGAATCCACAGGCACCACTATTGACGTTGTCCACCCAACCGACAGTTGGTTGACTCCAACTATTCAACACAATGCTCGGTCTCACGATGGAGAGGGGTACATTCTCCCGCTCGAGAGCCAAAAGATTCTCAGCCATTTGCTTGGTAAATGTGTAAGTATTCTGATGATCTCCGAGTATTTCGTTCGTTTTATTGTTTATTTCTTCCGAGCTCATGCCTTCGATCTGCAAAAATATCAATCACATAGTGTCGATAGATTTTTAATTCTAGGAGTAGCCTAAATCCTATCTTTAAAAGTATAACGAAGGAGAGATCGGTATCAATCATTAAATTATTAATATTAAGGGAAGTTGCCCCTTAAAAACAAAATGATAATAACACAATAACACAATTTTTAATTGAAATTTTTCAATTTTCTGTGAATTGAATAATTGAAAATGTGGAATTATCAATTGCCTATTGAGTAAATAATTCTAAATTTCATCAAAAGCATCTCTAAAAGTATAACGAAGCAAGGATCGGTATCAATCATTAGATTATTAATATTAAGAGAAGTTGCCCCTTAAAAATAATGAAATGATAATAACATAATTTTTAATTGAAATTTTTCAATTTTCTGTGAATTAAATAATTGACAATGTGGAATTATCAATTGCCTATTGAGTAAACAATTCTAAATTTCATAAAAAGCATCTCTAAAAGTATAACGAAGCAAGGATCGGCATCAATCATGAGATTATTAATATTAAGGGAAGTTGCAATTCGAAAAATAATAAAATAATTAATTATCTGAATTTTTCAATTTACTATGAATTAAATAATTGACAATGCGGAATTGTCAATCGCCTGAGTAAATAATAAGTGGACAGGCTTCTTCAACATTTATAATTACGCCGATTTTTTAGATTTTGTAATGAGAAATGAAACAAAATGCAGCGAAAGAGACACCGGAACTGTTAAATTTCCACTAATGACTAGAACGGTTCGTTTTTAACTGTTTGCATGACTAGTGTAAAAATAATCGATCAATTAATCATTCGCGCAGAATAATCCCGCGTCATTTGAAACTCAAACATTCAAATTCTGAATAGTCATTGTTATTTGATGCATTGCTTTTCTAGTTTTTTGTTATTCTGGCAGTAGACAGGGATTCAAGGACGCGCAGCAGAATAACACTCGTCACTCGGCCGAAAAATTCTATTTTGGAACTGCTGCTGTGTTCACTTGGTACCGAAATGGCCAGTTCGGCTCTCGTTGAAGATTTTTCAAATTAAACCATTTCAATCATTTATTTGTAAACAACGAATGTTTGAAAATACTAATTCCGTATTTCACATGTATATATATATATATATATATATATATATATATATATATATTATCGGTGAAATTAATAAATTCTGTTCTTTTATTGAGACCGATTATTTAAAAAAATTGAAGATAATTAATTGAAAATGAAAAATTCTTTATAGATTCTTTCCTTCGCTATTCACTTCAATCATTAGTCGAATTCTCTTTGATTCATTATCAATATCTATAAGTTATTCATGAGAAAATGAAATTCAATGAATTCCATTTCTTCATTTCAACAAATGAATAGATGAGCGCGCGCATAGATCTTGTCAAATAAATACATAACATGCGAGTGTGAAAACACCCAGGAGTTTCCCCTGAATTCAAATAAATGATGATGGACCTCTCCTGACGTTCGAAATGCAGATGACAGCCACAACTATGTGTCATGAGTCAATAATACATTGCACTCACCATGTCAATAAAGGAGGCTGGCTCCATAGTGGACGGGTAAAGTCTCTCCTGAAGTTCTTCGTCACTGTTTCTAGTGCAGTTTGCATACGCAGTTGAAATGTGCACCATTGACCGAAGTTTCGGCATTCGCTTCGTCAGTCCCAGAAGATGACGTGTGCTGAGTAAATTAATACGCACCGCGGAATCGAGATTGGCGGCGAATGATATGAATGCCGCTGAGTGGAATACGTGGCTGCATTCTGATAAGAGAACGTCTCGATCATTGTCGGATAATCCGAGATTCTCAGCTGTCAGGTCGCACGGAATTACCTTCACCTTCAGCAGAGTCGATGGTTCCAATGTTGCGAATAACTTGATGACAAAGGATTTATTTTTTACGTCATTTTGGTGCATTTTGATGCATTGCAATCGTTTAAATTATTATTTTTTCAATGTATGAAAAATTACGAAAGAATCTTTCATGTTTTTTTTTCTGATGGAAAACAGTCTTCAGACAATGATTTTTCTATAATAGAAATAATCCGTTTGCTATAAATTCCGTTGGAATTTTTTCTATCTAAAATTTTTGGGCATAATTTTTCAAGGATTTTTCCTTAAATTTTATTATGAGAAATGAATAAAAATCTATTTACTTTTTTCTATTAAATATCCCTTGAAAATTTTTCATGGTAAAGTTACTTAGTATTTAATGAAACTGGGACATAAAAAATGAGAGAATTTTTTAATAGAATTTCAATGGAATTTTTATAGAGGTTCAATATAAATTGAATACAATTTCTTGGAGAAGTCTAGGTTGTTCCATTAAATTTTTCTAAATTATTGCGGAACGTTGCATACAAGAGGATGCACTACAGTTGTAGAACATCCAGAAAACTTATCGATCTCTCTACAAAATCCAGTTTTTTCTTGAAAAAGTAGACAAATGAGGGAAAATGAACACATTTAACTGTTTATTAATATTAATGCCACGTTAAAATGTTAATGCAATGGGATTTTTTAATCGAACACTCGAGATTTTTCCGAAACATTTACGAAAACCGTCTTCCGAAAATTTAACTGAAAAATGCGTCATCCTGACAAAATTAACCATTTTTTTCGGAGCCTTTCAAGACAAAATAAAATGTAAGTGAAAGGAATTCCCGGGCATCGCCGGGGGCCGGGCGGAGGTGGGGGGGGAGGATTAAAAAAATGTTGTAACTCACAGGTGACGCCAGAATTTTATCAACCCGTGCCCTTGGACTCAATCCCTCTCGCTTCCGTACCAATACGTAAACACAATTAGGTCCAGGATTCAACCGTAATATCCTCTCTAGTAACGAACCACCGATGAAACCAGTGACTCCCGTCAACAGTACAGTGCTCCCACATAATGACCGGTTAATCGAGTACTTTTTCATTGCTCTTCCGCAGGCATACCGCCAGGTACTCAAGAGCAAACGGCCATAAAGTTTAATGCGACCCAATTATAGGGACCATAATTCGGGCATAGTGGGGGTATCGGGGTGGGTAGGATGGGGATAGCTACGTGGGCAACACTCCAATCGGCGGGCGCATTAATTGAGGTGTAATTATGCATAATTTTTTTTATATGTATTATTTTTGCATCGCGAAATGAACCCACACGGAGAGAAATGTTCAGTAAAAATTAGGGAACTCACAATTCGCTCACCGATTATGGAATCGGCTCAGAAAATTTAAGTGATACTTAATACTTAATTTTTATTGAATATTTCTCTCTGTCTCTGTCTCTGGAAAATTCATTCTGTCTTCGTAGCGCCCAAGTATTTACTCATTTTTTTCATTTTATTATTTTATTGATTTTTTTGTATTAACAATGTTTCATTTCATTTGTTGCTTCATTTCGTTCAATTGAATTGTTCAGTTCAATTCAGTTTATTTTCTTTGATGTTACAAAAGTATTCTTTGTTTTACATCCACACTAGCCTTTCTGCTCCTCTCACTTGTGTTGAATAGCGTTATTTTTTATTTAATTTAATTTAACTTCATGGAATCGATATCAATTGAATTATATTTCTTCTTAAATTACTTGTGTTAGATTCCTTGTGAAAATTTCTGTTTAAATCAAATGAAAAATGATTGTATCTGTATTATCTCGAAACTGCGATAAAGTCATATTGTAAATTTTTTTTTCGTGCGTAATGAAATGAATTTGAAAGGTCATTTTTAACGTTATAGTTATCCGAAAGAATTACGAAATTCTAAAAATTAATACATGAATTCAGTAGTGAAGTGGTAAACCGGTATAAGTCGATTTTGACTATTGCCCAGTTTTCAATGAATATCTCAAAATCTAAGGGAGATAGCAAAATTTTTATGATAACCTTTTTTGTAGCTTTCTCTTTGCTCTACAAAAAAGGAAATTACAACGATTTCACTATTTCCCTTAGATTCCGAGATATTTATTGAAAACTGCCTAACCACCGGTAAACCGGTATAAGTCGATTTCGCCGGGTTCGCTACTGAATTAAATTGCAATTAATGTCAATGAATAGGACTTAATAATATCTGCATTTGATAAAAACATCAATCGATTCAGAAGAACAGCAAAAAATCTGAACCGTGATTTCGAACGATCACAAAGCTTCCATTCGGAAGAAAAAAAACGCTTTCCACCCAACCCCGAGCAGCCCGTATTGCTGAAATTGTTGGTGCCAACGTCGGCGAATTCCGATCCGCCGAATTATTTAGTAATTCGTACGATTGACCTCAATTGGTGTACAAGTTTGCGCCGCGGCATTATTCTGTTGTTGAAATTCCACGCGCCCACTGTCATGAACTGTGGACCGGTAACACAGGTGTCATCGAAGAAATGTCAATGGTCGATTGGTCCGAGAGGAATTAAATATTCTCAAAAACATTCGCTCCTGCACGTGGAGGATTTTACGGATTCAGTGGAATTCTGCGACGCAGGGGAGTAAGAACTATTGAACATGTGATGAATTATCGCGTCATCGTCTGGATTGGTTGTGTACAGATCTCATACATTATGATCTTTTAACGAGAATTTTCTGTTTTGCGTGACTTCTTCAGAACAAAACGTAGAAAAAATCGTGAATTGAATATTTTATTTGCTAATCCTGACGATGTTACAGAGAATTTCATTCATTAAAACAAAAATTGTTCTGCCTGAGTAGTTTTATTTCCAAATGGAAAAAATCGACATGCGAAAAAAGATTAATATTATTATCAATTTTTTAAATTATTATTAATTAATTTGGCATGACTCATTCAGGGAGAAGCGTATAAGAGAATTTTATTCATGAAAACAAAAATTGTTCTGTTCTAGTGTTTTATTCCCAAAAGGAATAAATCGACAAACGAAAAAAAGTAATAGAAAAGCTTTACATTTCTAGTTTAAAAAATCATTAGGAAATTTACAGAATTGTTCAATAGAATCGACGAAAAACACAATCGACTTTCCAACAAAAAAAGAAAATATCTTAATGGAATATATTGTATAGGAAAATCAGAGTTTATTGAGTTTTTTCCATTGAATAAGGTTTTTCTATTGAAATCGATTAGAAACCTATTGAATTTCTATAAAAAATTGAGATGAGAATTTTATTAGAATTCTACTAGCGATTTCATTTTGTTTTGCGTGTTTTTTTCAATAACACTGTTTAATGCAGAACATTTAATTGAGAAAATCAATGGAATTCGATTTCTCCAGATGATTTATTTTAATATTTTCTATAGAAAATTCCTCGGCTCAAATTTGTTGCTCGATCTTCTTCATGAGAGGAAAAAAAGTAGAATGAAAAATACTTCTAGAATTTTTGTTGAGAAATTTCCATGGAAAATGTCTGAATGGAAAAATTGTGCAAAAAGATAAAATTCTACTGATTTTTCTATACAATATTTCTTACTGGAACTTTTTTATTAAAAAATAAGTAGTGAAGTATGGATATCTCTATACATTTTGAATCCTATTATTGGAAAAAAGAAAAAATTTAATAGCGAAACCTAGCAAATTCGCCAGACAATTATATTGGATTTCTATCAATTTTCTATTAGTTTTTGGCCATTTCTATTGAATTGTTCGATAGAAAATTTTTCTACACAACTTACTCTATTGATATATTTTCTACAGAATTTTCTTGGCTCAAATTTTCCAATTTTTCTTGTTAAATTTTAATGAAAGAAAAAAACTTGTAAAATTTGAGCCGAGGAATTTCTATAAAAAATCTCCCAATAGAATAAGTTCTACAGAAACACCTACTTCTACAGACTTTTCTAAAAAATATTCTCTATTGAACATGTCAACAGAATCGCCCCAAACTAATAGAAAAATCAATAGAAATCCACCAGAATTGTCTCCCGAAATCGCCCGGTGTTTCTATTAAACTTTTCGTCCGTGTAGTGTTTCAAAAAATGAACAAAACAAGGAAACCCCAAAAAAATAACCCGAAGTTCAATAGAAATCCCACAGAATTTTCCCCCGAACTCCCTAGATTTTCCCCCGAAACGGTTTCCCCCGGCCCTCCGCAGTCCAAACAAACCGGGCAGTCTCGCCCCTCTCGCTTCCCTCCCACTCGGCCGCACTCGGCGCACCTCGTGTCCTCCCGCAGAATAAAAGCACCAGAGCCACCAGCCGCCGGTAAAAAACAAAGTGCAAGTCCACGAGCTTTGCAACCCCCCACCCCATTACCGGGTTAGGGAGGGCGGGTTGAATTCAGTGGAATTCTGGTAACTTTTCTCGCGGCTCTGTTAACGCTACTGGGGATATACTTGGCAGTTGCCCCAAGATGGCGGACTCGATTGGCATGAGACGGGAACAGCTCGGAAAGTGTAAAATTCGTGATAAGTGTGAATTAATGTGTTAAACTCGCCCCGCAACAGCCCGTAAAAAACATCCGAGTTGTCGTGCAACACTGATTACCGCTGATAACACTAATAACTCAACGTCGCAGTCAATCCCGGTGAGTTTCATTCAATCATCCCGAGCCTGGGGGGCGGTGGGAGCCTACTCACAGTGCTTCCCACCGAGAAACCGTCTCTTCCTTGAGCCGCGCCTAAGTACACAGACGAAAAGAAAAAAATCCCACGACAAGTCCAATTGGAACAACTCCCATGGGTCTCAATTGGACAATTAATTAACTCCCCCATTCCCTCCAAAGCTCTTGAACGCCAGTGACTTGAACCCAGCGAAGGGCCAAATCGCGAGACAATAGTTCCTCCGTTCGATCCCCATAATGTCCATTGACTCGTGCTTTCGCCCCTCGACCCCCCGGCGATGGCCCCAAACTCCCTCCCATGAGCGGCCTCTGCCCATGGACTTCCCAATTGGCTTTCCCATTCGCCCACGAGCAAACCCCCTCGGAGCTTTTTATCCCTGAGACATCACGCGACCGGCCGCAGCCGACAAATCTCGACCCCAGCCGATTAACTCACTTTCCCCCTCGTGGCATTTTCCGTATTTTCGAAATGCCTGGATTTTACTCGTTGATGCTGTCGTTGTGGGGAGATTACGCGAGTCGAGGGGATTGTCTTTTATCGGGGGTTTAATCGGGGAAAGAAGTTTGAGGGATGACTCCCCTTGGCCATATCTTTGATTCTTGTGTGGTGGTCCGCCTGGCATGTGATGCACCACCGCCCAATGCGGCTATCTTCCCCTCGGTTGCCCCTCCACTCACCCCCCCCCCCCCCGCCTGCCCCCGCCGTAACTACCCTCGGCTGGAAGCCACGTTTCGCGATAATTCAATAATTTTATGAATGTCGACACGGTATTAAGCCCGGAGATTTACATTTATTCGATACTTGTAGTTATTCAATTGTTGGTTGGAGTGGGAGGGGGTGGGGGGATAGGGGAGAGGGGATTGGAGGGTAGTCGTCCATTGAGATAGTTAAACGGGGCGACTTGTGTGCAGTCAATATTGCTTATTGTCTCGAGCGAGATGCGAGTGGAGGATGTTTTTCTTGGTCTAGATTTTTACTCGTCTGGAAAATTTAGATCGCGGGGGCGAGGGGGGAAGTCTGTATTTAGAATCATCGGGGGAATAATCGGGCGGAGAAATGGTTCAGGAGGTTTTTAAGGGTGTTTATCCAAAATCGCAAGTATTAAAAAATGGATTTTTTTGCAACTGAGAGAGGAAGTTGCTCCCTTTAGCTTGATAAAAATTTCAATACACAAATCCATGTTTATTGTTTAGAAATGAATTCAATTCATGTCTCGGAATTTCTGTAGAAAGATGACATTCTACTGATTTTTTCTTTGAAATAGTTTCGATCGGACATTTTCTATTAAAACGCGCAATGAAGCTGCAATTCTTTAATAGAATCGGCCAAAGATAATGGGATTTTCAATAGAAGTTCAATAGAACTTTTAACCCAATCGAATTTTTTTCCGTGCGTAAAATAAAAAATTCTATGTTTTAATGGGGAAATAAAATGCCAAGGTATATTGTAATTTTTATTGGAATTTAGGTGTACATTGTAACAGAAATTTCTGCTCGCGAAGTTTCTCGTCATAATTATCGATTTATTTGTTTTTTAACACGCATTCCGCTGTAAGAGAAATGCAGTATGAAAATTAATCTACATGGGACATTTCAGGCTGACCCATTTCATTTTGGAGTATTTGTATTTTTTTTCTATGAATATTGATTTTATGTTGAAGGCCAGACACCGCTGGCTAGGCAAGTTTGATTCATGATGGGGAATTGTGATAAGGATTGTTGTTATGAAAGTGACTGAGCAGACACGGAATTTAATGTATACAGCCTGAGGTATTTCCATATAAAATCGTGAAGTTGGGTGAACTTCATGATTTTTTCGTGAATATCTCTGAATTTGAAGAGGATAGAATTTTTATGAGAAACTCTTCTTCAAATTCACGTTTTTGTTTCATCACTGAACTGCTGCTATGTGTGCTCATGATAAATCCTAGTATGTTCAAGCACTTGGAGATAGATGAACAGTCTGAAGGTTCGAGTGGCTCATCCAAATGATGAGTGTTTTATCAGCTGAAGTAATTACAGAGACTACTCATTTCCTTGGATTTATCAAGACAGAAAGGCAGTCTCTTATTCAAGGGAAATCAATTCAATTTCCTTCAATTTATTCAGCAATTCAAGAAGAATACCCTAATTGTCACGCATAGATACTTTTTCAAATCTCATTCCATTTCAAAAGTATCTCTTCCACAGCATTCGTAATTAAGTGTCAATGTACAAACTTTAGTATCTGTAATTATACTTTTTGTAGCAGTTATCGTTCTCTACGATCTAGGGAAGTATAGGAGAGAATCTCCAAAATAATTTTTTTTACCTTTTGAGATGCGATCTGATTAATCTAAATTGTACACCCAGAGATCTATTCAAATGATAGGGAATTTTTTGGAATGAATGAATTATTTATTCATTCATTCATTAAAAACAATTTTTTTTTTGAGTCACAGTATTAAAGAATTTCTATTGAAATAAATATGAGTTCATCAATTTCCAATAAAAATATCATGGAAATGAATAAAAAGAATTCCTAATAAATATTTTCATTCAATTCAATTGAAAATCAGTAACATGTTCCCAAAAATCAAAACGTGCTTTTCCTCTGTAGTTGAAGTCCTCTATTCCTTGCTCGGTTTTCCGCTCTGGATTTTTTCTTACTAAAACTAATGAAAAACCTGCGCATTTTCCAAAGATCGATTTGTATATTTTTTTCGGCGATTATATCAAAGAATTTTCTGGAAGCAGCATATCTGTTGTACGTGTAGATTTATCTTTTGAAATGCGATCTATTCAAATGACAGGAATTTTTTTTGGAATGAATGAATTATTTATTCATTCATCCATTAAAAGCAATTTTTTTTGAGTTACAGTATTAAAGAATTTCTATTGAAATAAATATGAGTTCATCAATTTCCAATAAAAATATCATGGAAATGTGTAAAAAAAACTCCTAATAAATATTTTTATTCAATTCAATTGAAAATCAGTAGCATATTCCTAAAAATTAAAACGTTTTTTTCCTATGTAGTTGAAAGTCCTTCATTCCTTGCTCGGTTTTCTGCTCTGGAGACCCTAATTATTTGATTTCACAGGTTTTTTCTTACTAGAACTAATGAAAAACCTGCGCATTTTCGAAAGATCGATTTGTATTTTTTTTCCGCGATTGTATCAAAGAATTACACTCGTTTCATATTCATCTCCTAACAAGTTATGATACATTTCCGATATTTGCAACATTCTAGCTTTGATCATTAGCGTATTATTTTTTGTTGTATAATCCTGTCTGTCTTAGTGATTGTTGTTAACGGGATTAATCCATTATCGTGATCTATTATTGGAGATCGATGAGAATAATGTTCCAGTAATTTAACATTTTCAATGTCAATCTTTTTTAATTCTGTCAAATGTGTTTACTTGTCTTTCAGACTTCCCTCTGGCGCGTGTCGCATTCTGGAATTTCAGGCAATTCCTGTGTTATTGCGAAGTATTTGAAAGCAAAACAAATCTCGTTCATTTGAATGGAGCAGGGCATTTTCTCTTACATTGACGTGTAGGAGAATAATATTTATTTGGAAATTACAAATTTCGAAAGGAATCTAGTGTGCTATACACGACTGTTGAATAATTTTGATTGCTCAATGGATGAACAGCCAGAATCACTCAATAATTCTTATATGAACTTTGGTCGATGATGAATTTACTACCGGACGTTCCTATAGGTCATGGGACTAATTAGAAAAAAATGAAAAAAGAATAACTAAAACCTACAGTATTGTGTCTTTGAAATTCTCATAATTAGTTTGTTCTGTCTTCTTGACATTTTTCACCTCGAATCCCTTGAAAATTAATCGTCGTCTATCGATCTCTCAAGGTTTATCAATTTCTCCCCTCAATACTGCTCAGTTTTCAATCAATTCGTTACTATTAATTCTTCATTTCGGACAATTCGTTACTATTAATTCTTATGGATAGAAAATCTTTTGAACTTTAAGATGAGGACTTCGTCACACTGTATTCCAAATCCTCTGACGTTAATGAGTAATTCCGAATAATTCCGAATTAATTTCTCAATCAATAATTGAGTTTGGAAGATTGACGATTGTGTAGCTAATCGAAAAACCCTTTTATGAAAATTAAAATTATTTACTCAATAGTCAATTGACAATTGCATATTGTCAATTACTTAATTCATAGTTAATTGAAAATTTTAATTTCCAATTATTTTATTATTTTGAAATTTCAGTGAAGATGAGTGAACCTTAATTATTCTAAGGCGCGACTTCACGTATGAAAAAAATTTGTAGAAAGCCCTAGCAAATTCGCTAACAAATTCCATTAAAATTCTCTAGAAATTCTACGGGGATTCTATTAAAATTCTAGGAAATTCTCGTTAAAATTCAATTTGTTTTTTGCGTAGATTCTATTAGATATTTATAGAAAAAAGTCAATAGATTTCGACTTTTCTGTTTGAATTTTTCTCTTGAGAGTTTTACTATTAAAATTATTACGCAGGGATTTTAAAAATTTTTTCCGCTACATTTTATTTTGCATTACAAGATCCGAGTGAGGGGAGCTTAGCAAATTAATACCCAACTATTCTTACACAAAAAATTCCAAGAGAATATTAATATAAAAAATCGACATCTGACTTTTTCCTATCAAATACCTCATAGGATCGCGCAAAAAACAAGCAGAATTTTAACGAGAATCCCCTAGAATTTTAATTGAGTCCCAACATAATTTTCTAGGTAATTCGCCACGTTTTTTTATTGAATTTTTCCATACGTGTTATCATAATATTACGAAATAACCGACTTTTCAACGGAAATTTTTCTTCGAGTCAATTCCTCTCCTCGTTCCAGCCGCTTAACCCTCATTTTAATTCTTTACACACAGAAATTCGTTTTTCTCCCCGTTGACGACGTACCCCGTGACCCATTGTTATCCAAATCCTCTGACGCTCATGAACAAAA